ATTACTTCTCTAAATATCCTCTTGACATCCTTTATGTTGTCTCCTTCTTTTTCATTAATCCCTATCATTTTTATGTTATTTTTCTTTGCATCATCTTGCAGTTGTTGAATTGTTGTTTCCTGATTCCTTGTTATTTTTAAAAGATCTTTCCTTTCCTGTTCACTAGCTGCAATCCTGTCTTCAAGGTCTGAAATTCTATCTTCACTTTCATTGAGGCGGTTTACAACTTTCAGTGGAGTTTTTTATTTCCTGTATATCTCTGTGCATCTGCATTATGTATTCTCTTTGTTTCTTATATTGCTCATCTAGGGACTCTATCTTTTTGTTTAGTTCCTCCAATTTTTTAACTGTGTTTTCTTTAGATATATTCAGAATCTCTTTCATTTCTTTTATCATTTCTTTTATCATTTTACCTGGAAGATTATTTCGAGTTTGAATTTCTTTAAAGCTTCCTGGAGTTATTTGTTAATTTCAGTAGCTATTGTGTCCGATATTTGAGGTGAATGGCATATATTTTCTTCTATATACATTGCTCCTAGGATTTCTTGAGATGGGCTGCAGGTTTGAGGTTGTAATTTGGTCTTTTGTTTTGTCATTTTCCTATATTTCTGTGTTTCATGTGTTATTTGAAAGCTTACTCAAGGTCTGTTGGAAATCCCCTTCTATGTTCGCAGCTCCTGAGACTCTGGCACCCCATTACCCTAAGTCACTCGGCCTGTAGAACCAATGGCCCTCTTCTGCCTGTTTAGAACTCCATAGTTCCAGATAAGTAGGGCTTCAGGGACACTGTGCGCCCACCTGCTTGTTGGAAGCTCCACAGTTCTCCAAGCGCAACATGGATGGGGAGGCGGATGTAGATGCCTCAAACCCACTTATCTACTTCACTGCACCCAGAAGCCTGGAGGGTCCCCAACATTCTGGGCTTTGCGCAGAGTGCGCTTTGCTCTCACCACAGGTCGCGGGGCCTCTGGAACCTGTGATGCTCCCCTGCTTGCTGAGATATCCACACTCCTCCAGACACATGGGGAGGCAGATGCAGGCGCCCCAGATCCGCCCAGCCACTCCTGTGCACACCGATGGTGAGGTGCAGGAGTCCCAAATAGGCTGGGCTCCAGGGATAGCATGCGCCCGCCTATTTGTTGGAAGCTCCACAGTTTTCTGAGTGCTGCCAGGATGGGGAGGCGGATGTAGATGCCTCAAACCCACTTATCTACTTCACTGCACCCGGAAGCCTGGAGGGTCCTGAACAGACTGGGCTTTGGGCAGAGTGCGCTTACCACAGGCCGCGGGGCCTCTGGAACCTGTGATGCTCCCCTGCTTGCTGAGAAATCCACAGTCCTCCAGACACATGGGGAGGCGGATGCAGGCACCCCAGATCTGCCCAGTTCCTCCTCTGCACACCAATGGTGAGGTGCAGGAGTCCCAAATAGGCTGGGCTCAGGGGATAGCATGCGCCCGCCTACTTGTTGGAAGCTCCACAGTTCTCCAAGCACAGCCGGGATGGGGAGGCTGAGAAGTGTTTTTTTAAAGCAATTTTATTTCACTATAATTGACATACAATTAACTTACTGGTTTAAACTACAAAATTCAATGAATCTTGACATGGAACAAGGATATAGCTCAGTGGCAAAGGGCTCCCTGGCAAGTACAAGATCCTGTGTTTGGTTCCTGGTACCCAAAACAAAACAAAACTAAAGCTAAAAAAACAAACAAACAAAAAAAACCCTAAGAATCTTGACCTTCATGAGCCCCTTGAAAACCCTCACCCCAGTGGAGATGCATACATCATTTTCACATTTTCTTTGTGGCTCAGTGTAATTGCTTCCTTCCATCCTAAGCAATGCATCTACTTTTTGTCTCTGGGAACCAGTTTTTTTTTTTTAGAGGTGCCAGGTCTGTAACCACCCAGGATTGCGGGGGGGGGTATTATTTGATTTTGTTTTTGTTTTTGTTTTGGGGGGAGCTGGTAGGGTTTTCAATCCTCATAACCATGTTAGGTTTCCTGTGTGCTTATCCTTGTCAGTGGCTGAGCCATCACATCACACTGTGTAGATGAACCACAAATCCTCATGTGTCCATCAGCTGAGGCCCTGTGTGGTGTTTCCAGCTTTGACCTTAAAAATGAAGTTGCTGCAGTCATTCTTGTGTTTGGATGGAGATAGCACTCATTTCCCCTGGGAAGGTACTTAGGTGTGAGGTTGCATCTTACAATTCTTCATGTTCAGCTCAGAAATTGTGTATCTATCTTTCAAAGTAGTTGTTCAAAGCAGAGTTAAGATTTCTGGATCTTCCTGTATTTTGTTTGTATATTTTTCAGTCTTTTTGACTGGATTTTATAAAACTAACCTAAGGAATGGATTTTTCTATTATTTCTAAAAGAATTTATTAATTCTAGAATTCTGTTCAACATAAAATTCAGCACTTTTTTGACTTTGGATAGAATTTTAAAGGTGGAAAACCCCCAAAATACTGTATATACGCACATATATAAATCACCTATAATCTTAGCATCACAAATCTTTAGCTATGTGATGATTAATCTTCATTGTCAACTTGATGGGCTTGAGAGCTGTCCAAGTGACTGGTAACGTGTACTTCTGGGCTCATCTGTACGAGTCATGGAGGAGTGACCCTAGGTACTACATCTGGTCTCTGGTACCTTCCTTCCTGGCACTGTCCCTCCACTCTGCTTCCTGACCACCATGAACTGAGCATCTTTGCTCCAGCACACCCTCCTGCTGTAGTGTCCCTGCCTTGGAACCACCCAGGACTGAATCCCCTGAAACCATAAGCCAGATTAAACTTCTCCTCTTCTTAGTTGTGGGTCTTGGATTCTGTGTCCCACTAATGGGAAAGCTTGACCAGGACAATTGTTTTTATTTTCATATATATGCTTCAACCTATGCAGCTTTTGTAGAATTGACCATAATTAACCCTTACTCTGAGGTCAGATGTTTGAACTGTTTTCAATTTTTTTACCCCTTTAAATGAAATGTTTACAAACATACTGTTAAATGTATTGTTTCATGATTTAGAATTTTTGTGACTAATGGAATTAGATTATCCTAAAATGTAAATATTTACTTATTTTTTATATTTGCTTTTATATAAATACCCAGAACACACAAATCCTTAGAAAGCACAATAGTGGTCCATGGCTGAGCATGGGGAATGGAGAATGACAGTTTAAGGAACCTGGGTTACCACTGGGGATGGTGGAGGTATTCTTTGCCAGGCATGATGAGGGTCTCATAGGCCTGAGTCATGAAATGCCACTGAACTGGGTGCTCCAGGACAGATGCTGAATTGTAGACTTGAATCTTGCCTTAATAAAGAAAGAAGCACAGAAGAGGAGTCTCCCTACCCCCACCACAGACATGCAGAGTGGGAGCCCCCTGAGGACAGTACTGGTCATGGAGAACTTTCCCAAACGCTTCTTCTCCTCTCTCTTCTGCTCAGAATGAAGGGATCAGTGACTTGTTACTGAGTGTAGGTAAAGAATCAAATGTGCAGTCAGGAAACAGGAGGCTTCAGCTGTAAATTCTGTCCTTTGAGTGATATATTGGATGTATGTTATGATCAGGACCTGGGAGAGCATTACTCATCAAAAAATGAACAGAGAATTACAGAATTGTCCCTGAATCCACCCATCCCTTCTGGCCTCTTTATCACCTCTTATCTACCATCTAAAATATGTTAAAATATGCACGATACAAAATCCATTACCTTAGCCAGTGACCAGTTCAGTGTCATTAAGAGCATTTACCTTGTGCAGTCATGAGCACCATCCTGCTCCAGAACTTTATTTCCAAACTGCAACTGTGAACCCTCCCAGCAATAACTTCATTTCCCGTCTTTAAACCCCTGGAAACACCATTCTACTATCTGTCTTATGAATTGGACTCTGCTGGATAATCACATACATGTAATCAGATAACATTTTCCTTTTCTTTCTGTTTTATTTCACTTAACACAATATTGTAGGATACATATATAGTACCTGTTCATCCATCCTTTGGGGATTATTTCCATATTTTGTTTCATGGGAATAATCCTATTGTGAACATGGGAATGCAAATATCTGCTTGAGCTCCTGATTTCTATTAAGGTCTATAAGTAGATGTAGAATTGTTGAATCACAGGATAATTCTATACAATTTGGAGAGGACAGCTATGCTGTTCCCTACAGCAGTGAGTCCATTTTACAACCACACAAACAGGTCATGAGGTTTTAGTTTCTCACTTTGATCCTCTGTACCAGGGACTGGGCACAGAATTTAATCAAGTTGCTGGCAATGATCATGCATCTGGGAAGCCTCAGACTACACTTCACCTGATGGGTTTGTGTGGTACATGGGGCAGTATGAACAGAGAGGGACTGGACCCAACCTGCACCCAGGTTAGGGTCAGTTCTGCAGTGATGAGAACTCTTTAGAGACTGTCCCCTTCTACACCATGGAAACCAGTAACCTAGTGACCCACGCCTTGCAGCTCCCCACTACCCAATGAAGCCCAGATGCCCCACAAAGCTGGCCTTTGCAGGGTGAGTGTGTGGATGCTCCACTTTCTGTGTTTTAGGGGAAAGAGCTAGATGAATCAGCTCTTGCTCCTACGTGACCAGTGGAGCAATGTTTGGCTGAGTCCTGAACTTTGTTGCTGACTTTCACAGTTCCCAGGGAACTGATGTTCAGTCTGGGATCTGCCTTGGGTGAGCTGGAAGAACTAGACTGTGTTTAAATGCCCTGTTCATGCCTGGGGCCCCAGTGAGTGCCAGAGGCTAGATGGGAGAGCTGGGGATGTAATCCTCACCCCTCAGTTCTCCTGGATCAGTGATAGGAAACCTTTTAGAGACCAAGGGCCCAAAATGCAACCAAAAGCTCACTCATTTATTATAGTGCCAACACTGCAATTAGACCTGAGTACTGACCTGAGGTTTTAGTTAGGAAAAAGAACTCATCCATTGACACATTTTGCCTTTAAAGAAAAACACAATCACAAAGTTTTCTATGACACAAACAAGTTTTTACTTAAAAGTGACAGTTAACATTTGGTATGCTTTCACAAAATTAATGATATCTTTGCTGGTGTATGCATACTGATAATTTGTCAAAGGTTGGCTCATTCTGCATTAGTTTCAGAGGAACACATGCAATTCTCAAGTCATCTGTTAATCTGTTTCATGTATCAGATTTAATAAGCTGAAAACAGTGGCCCACAAGCATAAGATGATCCAGAGTAACACAAGAATTCACCAGTGCTTTCATTGACTTAATTTTTTTTTGCTCTTTTTGAGACAGGATCTCACTATGTAGTTTAGTTTAGACTGCTCCCCAGCTCACTTTACAGCCCAGGCTGGTCTCAAACTTGCACCAGTCCTTCTGCCTCAACTTCCTGATTCCTGGAATTACAGGCATGCACCACCATGCATGGCCGATTTTAAATTATTTGGCAGAAAGTTCCACACTTCAAGGATTTTGTTTTTCACTTTAAAGATAGTAAAAATCAAACAAACCAAACAAAACAGAATAAACTCAATCAAAACAAAGCAAAAAACAAAGCAGTGAAATTGGCACAGAACTTCAAAGCAAGATATTAGGAAAACAATAATGGCTACCACAGTTCATCTCATTATCTTCACAATTGTTGTCCATTCCACAAGATATAGCAAAATCAAACCAAAAGAAAACAATAAAACCCATCAAACTGGAACACTGAAAAAAGCAAAACAATCAGAATGAAACAAAACAATGAGAAAAATATTGGATTTCAAAGATAAGATAGAAGAAAATCTCCCATATTTGCTATATTTCATTATGTTATCCTCCCAATAGATGCTCAGACCTTTGGCCCCAGACCTGCAAAGTCAAGCAAGCAATACAAGCATTCAGGTGCTTTTTGGACCTCAGTTGCTATCAGCTCAACATGTCCGCAGAACCAGCCAGTTGCTTATGGGAGAGAGCGATGTTGATTCTCAGCCCATGTGCCTGTGGTCTCACAGGAGGAGCTGACTTTTCTCTTCCTGGACCCCGCATGGCTTTTAAAGCTTGCCAGACAGCCTGGCTGGTTGTTTTCTTGGTGGGCTCCTCCTAGGCCCATTATGGCCCATTCTCTGGAGAAGCTGAGTTTTTTCCTCAGGATTTCGTTTTCAGAACTGCCAACTGTGCTGTCCTTTGTCATTCTTTCACACTCTGTCTTCTCAAGTGTTGCTCATTTGTCATAGAAATTATTTGTCCAACAGGTTTTTCTTGAAATTCCAATAATTGTATTTCCATATTTCCAAATCTAACCAGTGTTACGATGAACAATCAAGTTCTTCAAATTTGGCTTTATCTGGAGAAGAAAGAAAACACAGGGTGAGCTGGCTGTGTTGGCGCATGCCTATAATCCCTGCACTGAGCAGGTGAGGCAAGAGGATCTCTGCAAATTCAAAACTAGCCTGGGCTACAAAGTGAGCACAAGGTCAGCCTGAGCTGCACAGCAAGACACAGTTTCAAAAAACAAAAGCAAACAAACAAACAAAAAACCCCAGTGTTGTCTCCATGTCACAGAACTGTGAAAGTCTGGTACTAAGATTCTCCTTTGAAGCTACTACAATGGTAGCAAATTCTTTGTAGGTTTCCTGATGGCTTGTGGGATTGTCAGCAAATGTTGTAGAATTTTCTAAATGCATACTTAGAATTAGAAAATAATTCAGCTGCCTACTTTCAAGATCTCTTTCAAAAACCTGCAGTGTTGGATCAAATGTGTTGATATTACGATACATTTTTTCACCTGTTTTTCTAAACTTTGTAGTTTTTTGTTTAGTACACAGAAGTGTAGCATAAAATCTATGAAAACCGTGAGACTTTTATGTGAGGCCACATCAGTGACCTGTGGATATTTCTGCCATTTTTCATCCTAAACAGCCTTATTTCATCCAAGCAGCTGCAGATCTCCCCGGACACGTCAGCTGCTCAGCCATGGGACACCATTGTACCTAAGTAAATCAATACACTGAGCCATATTTTGCTATGCACAATAAAATTTAAAATCAGGCATCTACAGGAATATTTGTTTTAGAATGATAATTACAAGAACTAAGATACTGGGAATAGTTCCAGTTTTCCTTCTAGAAACTCTCACCTTTCAGTTTCACCAAGTTTAGCAACACTTTTGTGGTTGGTGTCAAAGCGTCATCTGACACTTGATGTACAGTACCCAGCAATTTCACCACACAGAGTGCACAGTGCTGTCCCACTGTGTGCAGTCACTCCAATGACTCTCTTCAGGCCTCCTGGGGTGATCTCTGCCATGTATTTTCAGTTTTGTGCTTTTTTTCCTCTTAGTCATTTTTTGGTTTTTAAACTTCATGTCTATGAAAAACATAAAAGTTTTTAAAGGTAAAGCACCAAATACAAACCTACCCCTACAACAAAAATAGCTAATACTATTAGTTAACACTAAAGAATTGGGTGTTACCTGAATTCACAATCTATATCAGTGATTCTCAGTTGGGGTTCCTCTTGAATTTTCTGGCCATCAGCACAAGGAAGCAATGTTTTACTGACCAGCATCTTTTGGCCTGCCCTAAAAAAGGCATCTGAGTGCATTGCCTACCTTGTGGGCTTTTGCTAGCATCACACCCAGGCCAAGCAAATATATCCTTGACTTTTTTTCATAAATTAGTCACACACAACTAAACATGATGCTGTTTATATATGCCAGGGGGACGGCATAACATTAAAAGTGTCTCTGTCTCTTAATTACAACCTCTTCATTAAAACTTAGATATTAAGTTTCAATTTTTCATAAGAAAACTCAAAGCTAAAATCTTGCATTAGTAAAAATAGATGTACTAAAACTCAAACTTAATACGAGCAGAGTCAAAGGCCAAGGGTAAAGTGCCCTGTGTTGACAGGCAGAGAAAGATGTGGGGCAGGTACATGTCAAGAGGTGCCAAGGAGACCAGCAGTCACCAGAAGAGCTGAAGAACAAGACTCCCTTTGTGACCTCAAGGGGAGAATGACCATGTTAACACCTTGATTTCTGATTTTGAGTTCCCAGGCCTTTAAAGAACACATTTCTGCTGTTTTAAATCATTTGGTGTGTGGTACTCTAAGCTTTCCCTGGGAAGCTAATATAACAATTCACTGTGTGTGAGGCACTGCACCAAGTACTCCAGGTGACAGTGGGAAAGTAGCAAAGACCCTTCAGTGGGGGAGGCAGACTGTCCCCCTCTGTCCTTGGTGTGAAGTGAAAGCTTCTTTTCCCAGTCAGTGCCTGGTCAGGCATCATAGCTTGGCTCTTTGTTCATCTCTCTGTCAGCTTTCACACTTTGACAGCCCTCTACCCGGTTTGCAGTTAGATTTGGAAAACCTGAGATCTTTTGGGTCACCACACAGGCCATGGTGATCAATGCCTATGCTGAATCATGATCACTGTGGTCAGTTACACACCTGCACACCTATCTTCTCTCTAGGTTGTGAGGACCAGATGTCATGGGTTACTAAGTCTAGCGCCCTGCACATGCCAGACAAGAGCTCTGCCACTGAGCGATGTGCCCAACACTGTCAGGGATTTTTAACATCACTTGTATTATTTAGCAAAGTGCCTGGCACAAGTGCCTAAAGACTACTAAAGAAACAGTTTAAGAACAAAGCTAACTTGGCATGCTACTACATGCCTGGAGAGCCAGCGGCTCAGAAAGCTTAGGCAGGAATACCATTTGACCTTATGAGTTTAAGGCTTGCCTCTCAAAAAAAAAAAAAAAACAAGTCTCAAATAAGCAAAACAGATCACTCTGAGGTTATGAATATATCTATCTATCTATCTATATATCTATATCTATATCTATATCTATATCTATATCTATATATATATATATATATCTCCACTTAAAGAGATGTTAGGAGTTTCATAGCCACAGAACTGTAATTGCCCTCAAACTAGCAATTACCCAAAAATACATCAACCTGTGAGTAGAAGAGACTGGCCAGGAGAAGGGACAAATCAAGGTGAGACTCAGAGTCATGAGAACAAATACATCTGTAACTACATGAAACAGGTCATAGATGTAATGGCTTGTGGATGGATCAATGTGTAAAACTCACAAACATAAAGATAAGTGAAAAAGTCACACACACCCTCAGAAAACACAAACTGTAAGAGCACATACAGGGATATAAATGCACATGCATATGTATAACTGATAAAAACAGGACAAATTATTCTCTGGATAGTATTTATCTTGGGGGAGGAGAGGAGAAGCAGCCAGAAAAGAGGATAAGAGGTGGATGTTAATTTCATTTATGAACATTCATTGAATTCAACATTTTCCTTTCTTATTCCTTGTTACCAAAGCTTCACTTTCCTAGCTGCCTTCCTACGAAACTTGTCAAAGTTGACTCGCTGCTCCGTCTCCACCTCCTGGCCATTCTGTGAACTACAATGCTCTGCTAGAGAGAGTTCCTGACGCAGCCAGGCTGAGTGAGAGGGATTCTGGTTAATACTTTGGGCAGAAGACAAAGCCAGCCAATCAGCCAAGCCCTTCTAGTGTGCAAAAACCAGTTTAGGGGCCTTTTGTTCAAGCACACAACATCTCTCAGACCCAACACCCACATGTGCACTCAAATAGAGTGGGACAAATCCATCAACCTAGTCACCTCCTTCTGATTGCCATCTCTCCTAGGCACCACAGATCTCACTTACAAGTGCAGTTTGCAGGTCGTAAATATGAGGAGATATCTTTATGGCACTCTACATCTTAAAAACACCCTACACTCTTGGGAAAACAAATGTATTTAATATACTATGAGGTTAGCAATAATTAATAGCAACACTATGTAGAAACTTTAACATGTATTTACTTAGATTTTACTCATAAGGCAAAATTTAGATTTTTTAATAAAATACAGAATTTGAGGATTAAAGGACGTCTATAGAAATCTCGTAAATATAGGAAACTATGTTAATGACCATATATATATAGACTTATTACCCAATACAATTGTATCTCATTCATGTAGTAGCAAAATGCTTATTTAATAAATCCCAGTAGGTGTAGATCAAGCTTTAAGTGCCAGGACCAACTTTAAAGAGATGTCTAGATATTTAACGGCTGCTTAACCTTTACATGTACACTGTGTGACAGAGAGAACCTGCTATTTTTGTATGCACTAAACGTATGCAGCCTTAACTCTGTACCTGACATTCTCCTGATCTCAACAACAATTTTCCTGGGATGGGGACAGAACAACCAACCACCAAAGCAGTGGTGCAGCTGCTCCCAGAGCTTTTCTTGTCTTGGTTCATTTAGGAAGTTGCCACAGTCCTCTGGGTCGCTCTTTGGGCCCTGTTTGTGTTTTCAAGAACTTTCTGACAATATGGGGACCATCCTAAGAGAGGCAGGAGCCACTGTGAGGGGTTTAAGAGTGGAGGAGAAAGAACTCCACATGCACCTTGGAAAATTAGTGCTGCACAGCTGCAGAACAGGGTCAGGTCAGGGCGTTGGCAACACTAAGAGTGAGCAGCAGATGGAAGGGAGCTGCTTCCTGACCCAGGCTAACAGGATGCTTGCAGAGGGCAGGCCAGGCTCAACAGGCATGAGCTGCGAGATGGTGGAGGATGAGGCCCCAATCAGATGTTAAGGGTGATCAGAAATCAGGGATGGAGGCTTATGGCCAGCTGAATTAGCAGGACACTTCCTAAGATTGGATAATGCAGATACCTGAGCCTGTCACAGAGTACATAGCAATTCTCCTCCATGACAAGACAGGAAACTCTACACAAGGCCCAGCATGAGTAGAGGTCCCCATCTCCTCTTTGTGAAGACTCCTCAGACCCTGTCAGGATCCTGACTAGGGTTTGGGCAAGGAGAGAATATTTGTCAGACACAAATGCAAGTGACACTTGCCACTACCCAATACAATTCTTAAAAGTCAGGGCTGTGAAACAAAATAAAACAAAACCAGAAAGCTAAGATTAAGACTTCCTGAGGTAAGTCAGGAAATAGCTGTAGGAGAGTAGGCAAACCAGCTGAAGGTGATACTGCAGAATGTTCCTAGATTTAGAGAACAACTGAAGCTCTTCACCTCCTCCTCCAACACCCCTCACCCAGGAATGTCTTTGTTAACTAACAGTCAGATGCATGTGTGACTCAGGTGTCTGCCTAGGCAGGGAGCTGTCTCTGAAAATAACTCTGTGGGAATCCCCTGCAACAAACTTCACTGCATCTGCCTTATGGGGCTGCCTTGAGGAAGTGCACCTGAATTGCAACACTGTTTCCCATGTACTATTTTTTTAGACTTCTATTTTTCACAGCTGACACTGAATAACTAGTAAACATTCTTTTCCCTCTGCTGTTAAGAACGGCAGTGTCCCACTGAGGGGAAGGAAGTGCAGGCAATGTGAGTTAGACACCACTGTTGGCCCATGAGAGATGCACACATGAAAATTGCTTTTTGTTTGTGTCTGTGATAGTTTGGATTGTAATTGTCCCTCAGAGATCCTTGTGGTAGAGGCTTGGTCATCAGCCTGTGGCACTACTGGGAAGCCAGCATGAAAGAATGTAAACACAACAACATATACAGAGCCTGGATGATAAAGATACAATTGTTCTCTCTGCTTGCTGCCTGCTGCTGCTGATGGGCCGATGTCTGCCTTCCTGCTGTCTCTGGGGACCTCACAAGAAATTTACCCCTTAGCCTCCTCAACTCTGATAGCTATAAAGGCAAGGGAGTAAAGTTCCCTTCAGCAAGGAGGGGGTTCTGAGTAGGATACCCACGAGGCAGTCTTTGTCTAGAAGTTTTAATGGGTTTAGAAAAGAGCTACCCTATGGAAGACTACCTACTTTTCAGGGTTCAATCTATGCAGTGTTGTGAGGAATCACTCAGAATGCTTCACATTTCAGGGATATCTAAAGACAACTGAGGACCTGACCCTGGTTGTCTGCATAGGCACACAGTGGGATATAGTTATGTGACCATGACTTAGCACAGGTGAACTTGTATGCACTGGATAGAACTCTACACAAGAATGTAAATATGAGATAACAACCTGGGTAAGAATTATACAATAAAAAAACACAGTGGTTCTCTGCTGTGCTCCACGCTGCCTACCTTTGTTGCTGACGTCTTGAACATGTACATTCTCTAATCTTGGGACCTCACGCATGAACATCTTCCTTGAGTCACCGAAGCAGGCCAACCAGTGTTCACACAGTGCCCATGCACAGGCCATGTACCCTCCAGCCAATGGCCTGCCAGATTATGCTCTGGAAAGGTCTGGAACAGCTGAAGGACAGTCAACAGATGTTTCGGTAAGGTCCCTGGAGGATCACAACTCAGCAGGCTCCATTTTGGACTTCAAGATTCTGTTTTGGGGCTGCTGGCCTTAAGGCCTAGTAGAATCCTAACTCCTATTTCAGTAATTCCTGTTACAATGATGTCAACCTAAATCAGTCACCCTGGAACCATGTCTACAATAAATCATTAATAGGAAAAGGGACGCTAAAAATGTACAAACAATAGTTACCTTTCTACACAGAAAAAGTGCAAATATTTCTAATTTTTTCTCCTTGTTTGTTGGACTTTTTGAAATGTGTGAATATTATCATAATTATCAAAACAATGATTAAGGGGCAAACAGAAAAAGAAAAATTAGAGGATGGGGAGAGGATTCAATGGTGAAACTTTCAAAGCCCCATTGCGTGGTGACCTGATTTAGGCCTCTGCTCCCTCCTACTGCAGGACAAGCCATTGTCCTCTTGTTTTTCTTAGGGAAACACAACAGCCTTGTTCTTCTTCCTTGATGGCCAGGGATGCATGGCTGAAGAATCAGCTGCAAACAGTTTCTCCTGGCCACCTCTGACTCAAGAACACCATGGAAATGCTGTTTCTCACCTCCAGTCTCTGTACAGCTGCTAAAATAAGTGATTGCTTTTAAGTGAGAAAATTAAGCATGGAAAAGTGACTGGATCTGTTTAAGGTCATTTCTGCAATTGTAGAGTCAGCATGCAGACCCTGTTCCTGGTATTTGACAGTCAGCTCCTGCCACCTGAGGCAAGGGATCATTCTGCTACAGTACATTGCTCAGGGACAAAAAAACTTCCATCAAATAATAGCAAGATTCTTAGCCTTGGACCTCTTGATTCATATTCCACATGCAAGAGTCTGAGCCTTGAAAATATCTTCAATCAGCTTGGACCTAAAACTACAGTTCCCTGGTCAGTCATTTGGACTGAACATCCACCATAGTACATTCCCATAGCTTAAATTCCAGGATAAGAAAGGGAGGGCTGGAATGTATCTTGAGGTAGAGACTTGCCTAGCAGGTAGAAGGTCTTGAGTTCCATGCCCAGCATGAGATTGTATAACTGCTTACAAGTGATTTTTAAGACCAGAGGGAGAATGAAAACTGGACAGAGGAACACTATTTGCTATAATAAAGCAAAAGAAATGACAAGCTTAGTGCCTACACTAAGGAAATCTGATGAGACCTCATTTCACTATAGAGCCTTATAAGTAGTGAAATTCTGTGTGATACAAATCTAAAATTGTGTGCTACTGCTTGTTTTCTTTCTGTCAACAAAAGTGCACCATTTTTGTGTCAGACATTGAGGTGAGTACTGAGAAACAATGATTACCTGTTGTTTTAGTTACTTTTCACTGGTTGTTGAGACAAAATACCTGATGCCCAACATGAAAGAATGAAGGGTTTATTTCTTACAGATTGGAGGTTTCAGTCCATCCTCAGTTGGCTCCAAGGCAAAATGACATGGCTGAGAGGCAGCAGTTTGTGGTGGATACAAACAGCAAGCATGAAGAGCAAAAGAGAAAGGCAGGCCTTCTTCCCACAGGTACACTGTATGTTCGCTCCACCCCTGTGTAGATGTAGCACTCATACCACCAATCTAAGTGTTAGACAATGAACCATTCAGAAATGCTAGATTTGGCCACATCCATGATTGCATGAGGCTTGAATGGTCACTGACATAAACCATGACACCAGTAGAAACAAAGAGCCTGCTCTCATACTCTCACCACAAAGCTTACAGTCTATTGATATTTATCAAATCACTATCCAAATATGGGCTGAGCATTCCTAATATGAAATCTGAAGTCTGAAATGCTTCAAAGTCCAAAACTTTTTACTACTGATACAGTGCCAAAAGTAGAAAATTCCACAGCAAGAAATTTTGTTTTCAAACACAAAATGTTTTTTAATTAAGATTATTGGCACATTTTAGGTGTAAATTATGATCATGTTAACCACGGGAAATTTGTAGCATACATGATATGAATCTTTTTTCTCCATTCCCCTACCTTTCCTTCAAGTCTCTTCCCCTCCTTATTTATGAAAGCTTTGTTTCTTTCTTTTCTCATTAATTTTTTTTGCCTTCCTTCCTTTCGCCCTCCTCCATCCCTAATTCCCCATCTCATTAGATAACATTCACAATATGTATTTTATTTTGGTTCTTATCTACATTTTCAATTTCCCACAACAGGAAAACAACTCAGTACACATGTTAAACACGACATTATTAAAAATATAATATAAAATTATCTTCAAGCTATGAATATGAAGTATATATGATCTATAAATAAATTTCATGTTTAGACTTAGATCCCATCCTCAAGATAACTTATTATATATATGCAAATTCTCCAATAAACCAAAAATTCACAAATTCCAAACACATCTGGTCCCAATCATTTTGTATTAGGGACAGTGAATATGCAGATGTTTAATTAACAATCTTATGGAAGAAGTACAAGGGCTGATCAAGATATACTAATTATAAAAATAAAACAAATAAACAGCTAATATTAAAAATTTTTAAATTTACTACAATAAAAGATATGTGCCCATTAATTCTCCTTTAAAAAATACCTCCTTAAAATAAATAAAATACACCTCCTTGCTTCAAAGACACTTCTTCATTTGTTCTTGCTTTTTTGAAGCAGTTTTGGAAGTCCACTTATACAATTGTCTACAAATTGAGATAAATAATATAGTGACTGATGCTGCTGAGTGCCATCCAATGGAAAGGACAGCTCATAAATATATTTTGGTGTGTCCTCACCCACCTGATTCATCAGATCTGGACCCTTGTGACTTCTGACTTTTCTGCAAAATCAAAATGACCATGAAAAGTAAATAGTTTGAATTGATTCAAGACACTGAAGCAGCCACAACAGCAAAGCTAAGATCCTTATAAGAGGACATCCAGAATTGATTCAGAAGAAAAAGGCAAGAATGATGGAATAAGTGCATTCAAATGAAGGAGGAACTGGGTGTGGTGGTGCACACCTGTAAACTCAGCACTTGGGAGGCTGAGGCAGCAAAATCTGAGTTTGAGACTAGCTTGGGCAACACAGTGAGTTCAAGGACAGCCTGAGCTGCATAGCAAAATCCTGTCTCAAAAAACCAAAAAACAACAAAAAAGAACACCTAGCTGATTGGTTTAGCACAGTTTTGTGTTTGTGTTTAGATTACTGACTTACTAAAGATGGAAGACCTTCCCTGTGTATGGTGGGCAACCAATAGGCCTGCATCCTGGATGCAGTAAAAAGAGAAAGTAAAATGTCTGGCTCTGCCTCTTCAGAAGAGTTCGAGTGCTTGCCATCACCTTAGGTGTCATTTCCAGTCTCCTAGCACAGATTCTTTTGCTTCCTGCCAGGGACTCTTCCAGGACTCTGCAGTGAGGTCCAGGACTCAGACTATTGACTGGATCTTTTGCATCTCCAAGGAGAACATGGCCCTTTTGTGTTCTCCACCTGACTCTGCAGATGGCCTTCCTCAGACTCCTCTGTAAATCCTTTAAGTGTCACACACACACAAATTAAATCTGACCCTCTAGTGAACCCTGACAAAAACTGCCTCTACTACCTGTGCAACCTCCCATGAACAATTTGCTGCCTCACTCATGTGAAAAATACAAGGCAGAACTGTAGCGGTGCTGTGCTAACTATGGGTTAGTTAATGGAGGGGTTGGTGTGAGGTCTCTTGGGTTAAAATTCTATCCACTGCTTTGTCATTGGAAAAGGTATTAAATATTGGTGTCTAGGCTCACACAGCTATGAAAATGAAGATAATTGCTAACTCACACTGTTGTAAGAATTAACATATGTAAAGTGCCTCAGAGAGGCCCTGGCCTGACACAATAACTGGTACATATGCTTGTTATTATGTTATATTAACATGTAAACATACTTTTAAGTTATGAAGACATCAGACGACAGATACCGAAAGCACTCCTTTCTCTGCAATAAAAGAAAGGCAACAAAGCAAATAACAATGGCATCTGAGCACTTGCTATATGCTAGGAACCATGGGAAGATCTCTGCAGGGTTTCATTGGATCTTTACAGCAGTGCCAAGGAATGACTACTGCCATTCATCACGGTTCGATTTTTGAATAAAGTAAACCCCACAATATTTCACAACAAAATAATAGGAGAATAACAATAGTGGAAATTGAGGCTCTGAGAAGCATAGCAGTGTGCCTAATGTATCAGGGCCAGAAGTTTTGAGTCCAGACATCTATAAATTCCAAGCCTCAGACTCAGTCCACTCCTCTGCTTTGTCTCACAGTGGGCCTGGGGTTCAGGGTCTCCCAGAAGCCTCATCAGAGACCTCCACCTGCAGCCAAACCCTGCTTCAGTGGGGACCTAACCCCCACTGCCAGGTCCACTGCCTCATTCTAGTCCCACTGGCAGGCTTGCACCTACTTGGCCCCAGCTTCTGGCCCTGTCCCTCACACCGCTTCGCCCTACCCCCCAGCCTTGAGTGAAGGTTCCGCTGCCCCCGCCCCTCCCCCAGGGGGCCGCGCCCTGGACGCCCGGATCCGTGCACCTCCACATCCCGCTCTGTCTCGCCCATCCCCCAGCCTCGCCCTCGCAGCTATTGCTGGTCTTGTGTGTGGAGTCGCCATTTTGCTGGTAGAGATGCCATCTGGAGACCGCAGCGCTCCTCTTTCCTCGGCCTAGGCTGCTGTGGGGCGGGGGATGGGGCCTGGGGCCTGGGCCAGGTAGGCGGGCGTGAGCCGGCGGCGAGCGGCGGTGCGGCCTGGTGTCCCCGACGTTAGCGGCGCAGTGAGTCCTGCCGGCGGGTTCGCGGGCCGGGGCGGCGGCGGGACCGGCGCTCGGGGCGACCCAGCCTGGGTCCTGAAGGGCCCCTAGCTTCCTTTCTCCCTCCTCTCCGTCAGGGTTAGAATGGCCAGGCCTCGCGTGCAGCCCCGGGGTCTTGGCCCAGCCAGGCGCTGTTGGGAGCCCAGCCTAGCTGTGGGAACTGAGGCAGGCAGCTCAGGTCTCACATGGCCTCTGCTGTCAGTGAGCCAGGCCATGCTGAGCCACTGATATTTACCCCCAAAATGACGATTTTATTCCACTCGGAGCTCCTCCCTGCAGAGACAGAGAGGACCTAGATGTTACAGAAAGGTAGCAGTTATTATTCTACCTGGACATGCTTTGGCTCAAGTCCCTTCCATTGATAGGGGGGTTTCTGCTTCTTTTCAAATTGGCGCCACTTGGGTGTTTAGGCTTTGTGAGGAGTCTGAATGTGGCATGGGGCTTTGAGGGATGAGCCAGTGTGATCAGCAGTTCAAAAATTTAAATCCACAAATAAAACTAATTCACCAACATTGTTGAACCTGCTGCAGGATACCCATCTTGTCCATATTCGGCTGTCTCTAACCATTACTCCCCTGTTCTGCTCACAGCATTTATGTATTTGCATAGTGTTGAATATTTATATTATATGCATAGGTAGAGTTGCACTTAGTTATCCTGTTACTGACCATGTATACAAATCTAGTTCCTCTTAGAAAAATTGGTGTTGAGCATGTATCTTTTTTCTTGGGATAAATTCCGGAAATTGGAAATAGTAAATCAAAGTTCTGTGTTCTTTCCCTGGCGCTTGATATGAATTGCTTCCTAAACAAAACATGTTTAAATAGACGACTTTCAAAATCTAGGTATTTGTCCAGTTATCTGGACAAATTTGGTGTTCAGCAAGGTGTTGAGTTCTTTTCTGTGCTGGCTAAGAAACAGGCCACACAACCTACTGTTTGATTTTGTTTTTAAGTCATGTATCATGTTCATCCTTTTGTTTTGATTGACTATTTTTTTATTTGGTTTTATTCCCTTTAAAATAAATTTTTAAAAAATTTTCTTGCTATGCATGGTGGCGCATGCCTGTAATCTCAGCACTCTCAAGGGTTAGACAAGAGGATCACAGAGAGTTCCAGGCTAGCCTGAAATACATGGTGAGTTCAGGGTCAGCCTGCAGTACGTAGCAAGATGTTGTCTCAAAACAAAACAAACTAATAAGTACTTTTTTCCTCTTTTCTTATTTTATATAGCACAAGTAGATGGTAAAACAGAAAATATGAAAACATTTATAGATTAAAATTTTCATAACAGAATAGTTATACAATAATGATTCTTATACTGTGTTCAGTGATCCCAGGGAATTCTCCATGAGCTGTATGCCCATATACTTTAGTTTTTTTTTTTAATTTTTGAGACAGACTTTAAATAATTTACTCAATTCCCCAGATTGGGTTTAAACTTGTGGTCCTCCTACCTTAGCCTCCCAGAATGCTGAGAGTGCAGGTATAAGGTATCTTCACTTGGCAATTCACAATAATTATGTATGTTTGTGGGATGACATGCACTTGTGATCTATGGCTCCTTTGTAGAAAGAATCAATCAAGTTAATGTGTCTACCACCTTACCTACAGATTGTTTCACAGTGAATGGGACTGCCAATCTCATTGTTTAGCAGTTTTGAAAGCTATACTTCTTATTAACTGTGGTCACCATGCAGTTTATTGTAAAATTGAACATTTCTTCTCCATTGTGACTGAGACTTTGTATTCTTGGGTGAATATCCTCCTTTCCCCCTCCTTCATGGAATTGATCATTTTTTTAAATCAATGTGCCCAAGAAAGGTGTGGAGGCTCAAGATAGTTGGGGCACACTGCTCTCCAGAAGACCAGGTGATGGCGCTCTACAGCCCCTCACATCGCTCCCAGTTTGTCTGTGTTTTTTCCTTAACATAATTCTGTGAATTATAGCGCATGGCCATGCACTGAACTACACTAAATTCTGTTTTAAAATTCTTTTTTATATTGAGCCAGGGTTTCCATAAGTAGCTACACTGCTGAGACACCATTCTTGAACATAGATTCTTACATGTCTGTGTGTGGACGCACATTGATGTCAGAGACATTGCATTTTCAAAGTCAGTATCCTCTGACTTTGAACACACATCCTTCTCTCATCCATGTATTATTTCATGATCAGATTCCTTGTCCTCTTACCCTGTGGCCCAGAGAGATCAAGCTCAGCATCTGCATAGCTTTCCCTGGTTCTCCTGACCCACACTGATGCCCCGCACCTTCTACGTGGAGGGTAGCAAGGATCACATTTTCCTCCTGCTTCAAGCAGTGTTGTGAACAACAGTCTTGAAAAGAAAGCTTGAAAAGTTATACAGATCTCTGTGTAGGATAAATCTCTATTTTTAGACCTCAAAGTCTGGGGACACCTGTGAGAGCTGTGATGGGAGCTTCTGGACAGGGCTCTGCCCCACCCACCATGTTCTTCTCAGTACTGTTCAGCACTTGCCTTAAAGTCTGCCATCAGATGGGATCACAGCACATGTCAGGGATGTATTCCTGAATGAATCACCCTTGTGGGGCCCAGCGTCTTCTCCATTTGTTGGCCACACTTGGTGGTTCTCTTTTGAGTTAGAAGAATTTTTCATCTCTCACAGAATGGACTCATGACACCTCTTTGACACCTCTAATACAAACTCTCTGCCTATTGCTTGTAAGGAAAGATTTCTTATTGTGGATTCTACATTATTCTTTTTCTGTTTTTCAAATGCAGTGAATCAGATCTTTCTCTCTCCCTTCTATCATGGGAAAGCTTTTCCAACATGAAAAGATCAGTAGATTTCTTACATTTTTGCTGTAGATTTTGGTTATTTGGGATTTTCTCTTCTATGAAAAAGCAATTGTAGCCAGTCTCCTCCAGTAATGTTTGGCCAAACATAATCTGATGCTTGAATATTAACGACCCAGAGTAGCAAATCACAGTGAGAGAAAAATCAGAGGTGGGTTGGGACTAGTAGAAGAGTACAGGTATATGGATGAGTCCAACACTGAACAGAAAGCTAGAAATCAATAGATGTAGAAATTGTACAAGTTGATGATGTCCTTATGTGCTACTGAATTGAACATGTTGAAACTAATGACATCTTAACTTTTAATTAAAATTATCTTAGACTTTAATGTTGAGAACAATTATAGATAATAAGACTAAAATGAAAGCTGAAAGAAATACAAGGGGTACAAAGGAAGGAAGGGGAAGGGAACAGAGGTTCTCTGCAGCACTTGGCTGGAAGTGGAGCTCAGGATTCTTGCCATGGAGCTAGTAAAAGCACCAGTTCTGAAATTCCTTAAGAAAGGGTGCCTAACCTTAGTTTTCACTTTGATCCCAGAGCTGGCAAGGTCACTGGAGTCCAGCTGGCACAAACTCTGCAAGTCCGACTTCAGGTCATCAGGTACTAGCCCTGCATCAACAGAAGGAGAACAATCACCAACTGTCCTTGTTCCTTGCAGGCCTGAGAACTTCACAGTGCCTGTCACAGACAGCTCTGTGCACAAATCCACCCCAGCAAAGTTTCTCATTCTTCCTTGACCCACTCACTTGTACATGCCTCAGGCTTGCCAGAGATCCCAAGTCTGGCAGTCTTTCTCCATGTAAAGTGTCTTATGCAATCCCCAGAGGCCCACAGACCCAGGCCAATCCCTCCTGAAGGCAGGGCTCAGCTTCAGTGAGCTCAGGTTGGTCCAATTCAGCTGGGGCATCTTGTGGAGTTGAACACCAGCCTCCTGCTCCAGTTGCAGAGAGACCAGCCCAACCTTCTCTCTGCCTTGAATCGGGCAGTGCTGGCTCAGGAAGCCTTCACCTGCTGAAAGAAGTCCCTAATAGTGCTGAGACCACCTGTCCTCTGTTCTTGAGGAAAGCACGAAATGCATCTTCCTTTCCCACCCTCGTGGTGTGTTGTCTCTGTGAGAAAAAGAATGGTATCTGCAGTGTTACTCTACTCGTGCTTACTCTACAGGGTTGGTGCACTTTAAATATCAGTGAAGTGAGTGAACAGAGGGAGTGTGTTCTGCCTGCCATCATCTTCAGTTCATATAGTGATGTATCATCCCATTCTGTGTACCTTCTTGGGACACCCCTTCCCCTAATATGTGTTCAAATGTACAGAGGCCAGGAAGTTAGGCACATTTACGGTAATGTGGATAGTACCTGATCTGTTCTTCAGAGGGACTTGTGTCCTGGATAACATGGAATCACAAGAGAGCAGTGGTTACATTTGCTCTGGTCACTGCATCATGGTCACAGCTTAGTAAATTGATGATTAAAGGCACTCACCAGCTCCCTCCATGATGTCTGTGTGGAATTGTGCCCCCTGGTATTCCCCAGAGATTCCTGCTATGGATACCATGGTAGCCAATAGAATGACACTCTGGTGTCCTTTATAATGAAGAGAACAGCTTCAATCAAGTGACAGGCCCTTGGTAGTAGGCAAAGCTTCCCTAAGGCTAAGAAAAAAGACAGTGCAGGCAAGGTCACAAGCTCTGAGGGGAAAGACCTGGGTTTAGACCCAACTCTTCCTTCTGACTTCCTAAGACAAGACACCGTGCCTCTCAGAACCTTCACAGAGTGTCCTCCTGCACTACAGAGGTTACCCTGGCATCTACTTCCTAGGGACCTTATTGGCAATGTGAGATGACAATTGTAATGCCTTTGGGCTGATATCACATAGACATACTGTACAGAATTAGAGGTTAAATCCAGGAAGGGGTGCAATGGATGTGGAATACAGTGCACATAGGCCTGGCCCCCACTGCCTGGTGGCAGAAATGACACACAACTTCTGGACGTATTCCCTGGTAGTATTGTGAAGGGGCGGAATTTCATTGATTCAGTCATCTTTATGTTCCCTAAATATCGCAATTTCTTCTACGTATTGGTGTTATACCCTCAAGTTAGGAACTCACACAGGCTAAGCAAGAACTATGGATGGAGTTGCACCCCAATATCTACTGGCAGTTCTTCTATATTCACACCTATGTGAGTCACCACACCCATGACTGGTCCTACTCAATAGGTGACAGCTAACTTTCTGATGGCTACAACGTGAGTAATCCATTCCCTACCTAATGGGCCTCACTTAGTTATTTACTATTATTAGTGTTATTGTTTTGCATTAGCACTGAAATTGAGCCCAGGGCTGCATGCATTGTCAGCAAGTATTGTACACTGAGCTGTCTCACCAGCTCCTGACTCATTCTTAAATAACCAAATATGGTAGACATCATGTGATGCAAATATTAAGGTTCACACATAAAATAACTGTGATCCACCTCCTGTTCTTTCCCTCTTATGTTCTCTCCTCCTTTCCAGTATTTATTTTTCTCCCTCTCTGGATCTCTGGCTTGGGGGAAGCCACTGCTCGCTCTGCAGCTTCTCTGGAGAAGGTTTAGATTCATCTCCTGAAGGGAGAGATGTTGGCGAAGTGGAAGCGTGTAAAGTGACTTCACCTTGGGTGGTTGTTTTATCAATTTGAGGGGCTTGGCAATGCTGTGTAAGTAGCTCCAAGATTAGGTTCCAGTAGGCAAAGGCTGTAACTGGGACCTTTTCAGGGCCAAAGACCCGATAGTAATCCTTTAATGCATCTCCTACTCTTTCCCATCTTTTTGCATCAATAGAGCCCTCTAAAGGAAACCAAGGGCAAACCTTATGAATAAATTGAAAATACTGCAATAAGTCTTTTTCTTTAGCCTTTATCCCTCTTGTCTTTAAAGCTTTACTTAAACTTGATACAAAGCATTTATGGTCGCTTAATGCCTGACCCATGCCAGAGAAAAGGGAAAAGGATTGCTGTCCACTTACCATGACTCTAGCGGTGCAACAGGCTCCTGCGTAGCGTTGGTCACAAAACTTTTAGTTTCACTTCTATGCGTGTGTCTCAGGATGGCTCCCTCATTGAGCCCTTCATGCCAAGAGCCCCATGACAGGCGCCACTTGACCCGGCCTGCAGGTCAATTCAGATCTGTGGGGCAGTTTCCTGGAGAAGGGATGGGGATTAACACAGACGGGGCCAGACACAGAGTGTCAGAGACAAGTCAAGGGAGTCCAATTAAGTCTCATTTATTAATAAAGTGGTCACTGGTTTTATATGGCAGGGGTGGGCTGGTGGGACACGAAGAGGCTATGGGGTAATCTCTGATGGGTCATCATCATGTCTGTGTATGTGACGTAAGTAGGAGAGGACTATGGTTAATGTAGGCAGGTGCATTATGTGCCCATAGGAGGGAGAGGCGGAGAGACAGCAGTGGGGCAGTTACACCACTCCCTACAACAAATAAATAACCTAATGCTACATCTCAAGTTTCTAGAAAAGGAGGAGCAAGTCAAACCCAAAGCTCATACAAGAGAGACAATTGTAAAGATTAGAGCAGAAATTAATGCAGTTGAAACTAAAAAAAATGCAGAAAATTAACGAATCAATGAGTTGGGTTTTTTTTTTTGAGAGAGAGAATAAACAAAACTGATAACCTTCTTATTAAGAAAAAGAAAAAATTCAAATCCACACAATAAGGACTGAAAAGATGGAAATTAGTACAGATGCCATGGAAATTCAAAAGATCATGAACACATACTTTGAAAATCTCTACTCACATAGAGTCAAAAACACAGAGGAAATGGACAGATTTCTAGAAACATGAATTATTGAGGCTCAATCAAGAAGATATAACAATTCTGAGTAAATCAGTATCAGCTACTGAAATTGAAAATGATTTATCAACTTACCAACAAAGGAATATCTAGGTCCTGATATATTCACGGCTGAATTTCATAAGGAATTTAGAGAATACCTGACTCCAATATTTCTTAAACTCTTCAATGAAATTGAAAGAGAAGCAGTCCTCCCTAACTCATTCTTGGAGTCAAGTATCACTATGATACCATTAGAGAAAGACACAACCAAAGCGGAAAAATACAGACCAATCTCACTAATGAACACTGATTCAAAGATTCTCTATAAAATATTGGCAAATAGAATGCAGCAAATCATTGAGAGGATTATGTAGCATGACCAACTGGGATTGATTCCAAGATGGCAGGCATGGTTCAAAATATGCTAATCAATAAATGTAATACTCCACATCAACAGAGCCAAAAATAAAAATCACGTGAACTTCTCAATAGATGCAGAAAAATCTTTTGATAAAATCCAACACTTGTTCATGATGAAAACCCTACAGAAAGTCAGAATAGATGGTATCTACCTCAGTCTCATAAAGACCATTTATGACAAACCTACAGCCAATGTTATGCTAAGTGGACAAAAACTGAAAGCCTTCACACTAAAATCAGGAACAAAAAAATGATGTGCACTATCACCACTCCTATTCAATATAGTTCTGGAACTATTAGCAGAGCAATCAGACAAGATGGAGAAATAAAGGGAATAAAAATAGGAAAAGAAGAAGTTAAGTTATTATTTGCAGATGACATGATACTTTGCATAGAAGACCCCCAAAAATCTATTAAAAGCCTATTAAGATGATAAACAGCAGCATACCTGGATAGAAAGTCAATACTCAAAAGTCAATAGTATTCCTGTACACAAAATCTCCAAGAGAGAGAAATTATGAAATATCGCCTTTCACAATAGCATCAAAAAAATGAAATACTTAGGAATCAACCTATCCAAGAATGTAAAAGACCTATATGATGAAAATTATACTACTCTAAAAAAGGAGATTGAAGAGGATATTAGAAAATGAAAGGATATTCCTTGATCAGAGTTAGGAACAACCAACATTGTGAAAATGGTGAAACTCTCCAAACTGTTATATATATTCAATGCAATCCCAATCAAAATATCATTAACACACCTTACAGATCTAGAGGAAATATTCCCCCAAATTCATCTGGAAACAGAAGAAACCTAGAATAGCAAAGGCAATACTGGACAACAAAGACAAAGAAGGAGGCATCTCAATTCCTGACTTGAAACTATACTGCAAAGCCATGGTGATAAAATCAGCATGCTGTTGGCAAGGAAATAGACCATAGGATCAGTGGAACAGATAGAAGATATAAACACTGCCACAGAGACACTCAGCCACCTTATATTTGACAAAGGAGCTAAACATGTTCACTGCAAGAAAGATAGCCTTTTTAATAAATGGTGTGGGAAAAATTGGCTTTCCACATGCTGAAGACTAAAACTAGACCCATGCCTATCACTATACATTTAACTAAAGTCAAAATGGATCAAGGATCTAAAAGTTAAAAAAGAAACACTAAATCTACTGGAGGACAAGTTAGGTAGAAATCTTGGAGACATAGGGCTAGGCAGAGAATTCATGAATAAAACACAAGCTGTATGGGAAATACTTGAAAAAATCAACAACCAGAATCTCATATTATTAAAATGTTTTTGAACTTCAAAGGAAATCACCAACAAAGTGAACAGAAATCCCACAGAATGGGAAATAATTTTAACTAACTATCCTTCAGACAAGGGATTCATATCCAGAACATATAAAGAATTGAAAAACATCAAATCCCCCAGATTCCAAGACCCTCTCCAAAAATGGGCATCAGAGATGAATATACAGTTTTCAGATGAAGGTATACAAATGGCAAATAAATATATAAAGAAATGTTCACCATCATTGGTTGTTCAAGAATTCCAAATTAAGACAGCATTGAGATTTCATCTCACTCTGGAAAGAATGGCCGCCATCGAGAAATCAACTGATAACAAATCTTGGTGAAGTGCACCACTGCACTTCTCCACTGTTGGTGTAAGTGCCGACTGTTGCAGCCACTGTGGAAATCAGTATGGAGATTCCTCAAAAACCTAGGATTTGAAGTTCCATTCAATCCTGCTTTTCTTCTAGGAATTTTCAAAGAAAAATTGAAAATGTCATGTCACAGTGATATATGTGCACTCATGTTCATTGCACAATTTGTGATAGGTAAATCTTGTAAACAACCAAAATGCTCATTAACTGCAGAGTGGATGAAAAGAATGTATTTTTACACAATTGATAACTACTCAGCTATAGAAAAGGATGATCTTGAGGCCTTTATTGGTAAATGTAGGCAAGTTGACAATGTGCTCATCAGTGAAATTAAAAGACTCACATTAGTAAATATCACATTATCTCTATGGTGTTAAAAGTAATTAAAAAAACTGACCAAGTAATGAGATCCAAAAAGTATAAAATATTGCAAAGGAGAAAGGGAAAATAGTGTTCTAAAGGAAATAATGATATGTATAATGTGTAAGATAGATGCCCATATTACTACATTTCTGTGAGATATTGAAAAGAAGGGTTTGTACTGCCTATGTTTAAGTAGTTAGCCACTTTTTACACTTTGTTTTTGTAACTTTAACAACTATTTTTAAGGTGACAATATATAACGTATCATCCAATGGTTTTATGATGTTAAATTTTAAAAATTTCTCTATTCTACTTTTTTTCTATTTTGTTTCTTTTCATTTTCTTTTCTTTCTTTAAATAAAAAAATTTTTAAAAAAGAAATGAATCTGGTATTCTCTACCCTCCAGGCCTTGCAGCAGGATCTGCTCATGCAGTGATGGGAATCCTTGGGATCCACCTGACTCTGCATGGCCATAAGCTTCACTGTGGTGGGATTAGTGGTATTATGCTTTACATTTATTGTTGTCGTGGTCTTTGTGTGCATGAGTCCACCCTAGGGGTCACTTACAATAAACACATTTTCCCTCATCTTTCAATTGGTGGAATATGGGAAACCACTTCACAGTGCTTCAGCCCCAAAGACTTTGAGGACATGTATGGACCTCACCTAACTAATTAGCATATGAACAGCATGAACACAATTCTATAAGTATGACTTATCATAGACAGCCATGGATATGCTGAAGCTTGTAACAGTACACAAGAATGCATTCCCTGATACGGATGGAGATATATATAGAGAGAGACACTTGCTTACTGCTATTGCTAATGTTGGCTCAGGTGGTTTATTTTCTCTGGGCATCTTACCCACTAAAATACCCATTCACCTCCCTAACTCTGAGAAAATCCCATACCACAGACACAGGGAACTTTAATACCCCACAATACTAAAGTTGTGTGTGATTAACAGCCCCTGTGCCCTGTTCCAAGGCATTCATCACATCCTGAGGCGCAAATCTCTGTGGGGTACAACTTTAGAAAGAGATCGAGTTTCATGCCTGTGCCTTGGAGATCATTTCTTGATCTATGTAATAGACATTTGCCCCACTTCCATACCTACTCTGTACCCCACAAGGCATTAAAGTTCTCAAATGTTCTGACCTGGACCTGGAACGTAGCTCTCCAAAGAGCAGACATGCAGTTCTCCAGCAGACTGGTTGGAGCATGGTCTCAGGTGAGTCAGTCCCAGGCTGGAGGCCAAGGACAATAGTGTCTGTTGGCCCCACTCTCACACAATGGAGCTTCTTACCAGAATATCTTAGCCTCCCTTGATCCCTGAACCCGTGGGGACTCACTTTTTCTATGTGTTATAGTGTGTTAAAACCAGGCACAGCATTAAGGCATGGTAGTGACAACACATGTCTAGCACAACCCCTCCTGAAGGTGGCTCCCCATGGACTCTGCAAGCCATCTATTCTCAACATATTGTACCATCTTGGAGCTGATCACACTGAGGAAGTGCACAGAACAAGGGCAGGAGCAGGTGCTGGATCCCACAGAGTTAGGCAGCCCTTCTCTGTGTGTGGACCTCAGTGCCTGTCAGGGCATCGGGATGGCCCTCTTGAATGAATTAGGGAGATCCCTGCCTGGTGGTATTGAGTCAGGGTGGCAGTGGACACTGGCTGTGTCTGGCAGCCAAATGGGGCAACGCAGAGTGTATACCACTGCCACCTGCTCAAGACATCCTTCCACACTAATTCTTTTGTGGTTCCCCTGCCAGACTTTTTCTACCCTCCTTTTCCACTCCAACCTTCCTTGGAACTTTGAGTGGAATCAAAGGAGGAGGCACTGCATGTGTAGCTGCCCAAAGTCTAGATGTCACTGTTCTCTGCTGTCACCCAAAAGGTATGGTGGTTGACAAAATCAGGTGTCCATCATTGAGAAACTTGGGGCCTTTTTCTGCTCTTCCATCTTCTATTCCCTAATTCCTCAGGCATCCATCCCTCCTCCTGTTATATATCATTCTCCTTAGAGCACACAGCTAGGCTTGTGCTAACCCTGGTTGGCCTGGGGGCTGCTCTGTGCCCCTTCCATCCCTTTTTGTCCCAGAGAGAATCCTGTACCCACAGGTATGGCTGATGGGTTATCACTTAGAGCAAGCTTAATCCATCCTGTGTTGTGCTTGGTCCAGGGCCTAGGATTGAGGTTACTATGAGCCCCTAATGTTGGTTCCCAGATCTAGAAGTTCTTCTTAGAACATGGTGCTTAGAATTTAGATCTCAAGGTCAGTCTGAAAACCCCTATCTGTGGAGCATCTAAGGAGCTGACCTAAGCATTGGGTTACCATGTGATGCATGCGTATCTGGATATGTGGGGAGACAAATGCAGATACTCCTATCTGGCCGAATCGAGGTAGAAACAGTAACTTTGAAATGGCTCCTGTGGGGTGGGCAGAATTGGATCTGGCCAGGGACTAAAGGCTTAGTGCACCAGACTTTGAAGCAGGGACCAAAGATCTGGACCACACATTGGAAGGGAGGGAAATAAGGGTGCCCAAGCCCAACTGTGTCTGGGGACAAATTCCGCCCCACTGTTACCATGAGTCTCTGTCCTTTCCCAAGACCAACTGACTGTGTTATAAGGCCTGGCAGTGTCATCACTCTGCTACTAGTATGTCTCTGGTTCTTTCAGGAGTGAACAGCACCCGGACAGGAGATGGCCCAAGGCTTACATGTGTATAACGTGCCACTGTCTCAGGGACTGACTCTCAGGTAAGGTGGTCATGGCCATTGCCATTTCTGTCTTGCCTGCTAGTTGCCAGGTGCTGCTGTGTTCTCACTTTTCTGCCATTGACTCCAGAGGCAAATACCTAGTGTTCAGGTCCAGGTGTCAGGGAGGCTTTACCCAAGTGTAGTGGGAGGAGGCAAACATCCTTGAGATGCACAATGGGCCGGCTGAGGTCTGAGTGGCTGCAGAGTTGGGTGAGAATCCCATATATTTCCTTCCCCACCATATTGATGCTAGGGTCTTGGTGTACAGTGCAAAGTTCCTTCCAGGTAACTGTCACTTTTTGCTAAATCTTTCTGTCTCACAACTCATCATGAGATCCTTAATTATTTTTTATTAGTATATTTTTATTAATAGCTGTTTACAGTGTTTACTGATTATTTTGATGAAAGGTCCATGGCACATGTGATGGGTGGAATGGAAATTAGGCCCTACCTTGTGCATAATGGTACAATCTGTCAACCAGTGACTGTTCTCAAGCTGTGTGTGTATGACAAAGTATGTCATATATAAAAAGTATGCTGATAAAAGAATGTTGAAGGCTCTGCTAATCTTCTCCACCCAGACTGCCTGGCACTAGCTCAGCCTTCAAAACTTGGTGGGAGAGGCAGGAGAGAAAGGTAGAGGAAGATAAGGGGCTTTCTCCTCCAAGACAGCAGATATACAGAGGTAAGGGGCACTTTCAGCTGTCACTGTTAGACCCACTTCTGACCCTGTATCCTGAGGCCAGAGAGGAGACAGCAGTTTTGATTGCTTTGCTAGAAATGAGGAGTCTGAGCAGAGCTACAGAGACAGGGCTTGGGAGCCACACTGAGGGCTCCTCCAGATTTGTCTGCATTTGGTTTTCACTTTCTGTTCCATGACTCAGTCATCACCAGCTTTTGGCAGTGTGGGTTCACTTGTCTCCCCAAGAATGAACTGCTTCTGGGGATCTCGGGCAGCCAGCACACATCTAGATTTCTATGTGTCTATGTTAGGTTGGGCATAGAGCAAAGTATAAAAGTACATGTTCCTATGATAGTAAGATTGGTGCCAGAGACTCCATTACCAAGGACTTAAAGCTCATGCTTTGCTCTTCAGGTTTGCATCTGCATGAAGCACCCATTGCTTGCCAGCTAGAGTGCATCTTTCCTGTGTCAGGCTTCTCATCTGTTGCTCTTTTTTTCCCACATGTCAGAAGTGGATTTTCTTGCTTTGTGTTTGGTTTATAAATCATTGTATACTTTATTAGTACCTATTTACAGTGTATACTGTTTATGTTGGTTATAGGTCTATGGCTCATATGATATGTAGAATGGAAATTAGGCCCTACTTTGTGTATAATGGTACAATCCATCGACCAGTGACTGTTCTCAAAGTTGCCTGCACTGAGCATACATCTCAGGGCCAAGACATGGTGAGCACAAGGTGCTGCTTTGTCTGGATTTTCTTTTCTTTATATCAATGCAATGGGCAATGATGTAATATTTGGGAGCTTAGCCCAACCCTAACCCTTACACTAACCTGAACCGTAATCCTAACTCTAAGCCTAAAAAGTCACTGCCAACATTCTCTGGCCAAAGAAAACTTGATGTGGGACAAGACAGCAGATATACAGAGGTAAGGGGCACTTTCCTGTGGGAAATGTAACATAGATTAATTATGAGGATGTAAGATCAGTTGGGGTTCGGACAGAGCAGAAGGGGAAAGAAAAGAAAACACCTTTGGGTAAAAAAATTTGAAGAATATATTCTGGAATTGAACAGTGGTGAAATTTGCACAACATTGAGAATGCACTGATTACTTTAAACCATACTAAAATCTTACATTTTATTTATATTTGTTCTAACACATATCTCTGGGAAATAAGAGTAGCAGTGAATAGAATGATAAATAAATCTGGAAGAGATGGGAATGGCAGGTCTGGGTCAAGAGCTGCAAGGAGGTAGAGTTCAAGAAAAAAGCCCTGCTGTGGAGCCACTAGGAGGTCCAGCTCTGTAGCTGGTGGACAAGGGAATCAAGGTGCCTGCTCTTGCTGTGGGGCCAGAGCTTGTGAGGGAGCTGCAGGTAGAGCTGGCACAAGGTCAGCAGGTTCAAGTTCTGCATGGCCTGAAACTGGCTCAACAGTTCCAAGAAGAGAAAAGATGACCAACTGTCGATGGGTTTCTTGGGGCAAAACCTTCCCACTGGCTGTCAGAGGGAGCCATGTGCACCAACATAGCCCAAGCAACACAGTTGTAGATTACATCCCCCCACTGACTGCTGAGAGTCTCATGCTCCTTGGTCCCCAGCATCTGTGTGCTTTGCTGAGTTCCAAGGCCCATCCCCTCCCACAAGCCCACATCCCACATCCCAGGGTTACTTACCCTAGGATCTCAGCCTTGGGGGGTTCAGGAGTCTCTAGCTGGTCTAGGAGAAGCTCAGCCTGGGGATCCACATGTGAGTAGAGTTCCAATGCAGAGTCAAGCACAGAAGAGGTGGACCTGGTACAGGGAAGAAAGGAGCAGAGTGAGAGGCCTGGTCTTTCCTCCAGCACTACATGCATAACTCACCTGTAGGGAGGTTGTATGAGCCTCCTGCCCAGGCTGTACAGGATCCAGCCACACCCTCTCCCACCCACAGTGAGGCAGTATAGGCCTAAGGAGACCTTAGTGGCTGAAAGAAGTCTCCATGGGAGGGAGCCCTTGCTTAGTTGTATCACATGTCTACTTTCTTCATGGAAGCCTGACAGTGCTTCCCTGCCCTTCCCCAGTGCAGGTCAGCTTGGTGAAGGTGAGAACTGGAACCTTCCCTGTCTTTGCACTCAAGGGCTCAGGGCTGCCACTCCATGAATATCTGATAAGTGAGGAGTAAGTTGGTGTCTCTCCTGCCTCTCTGCCATCTCTAGCTCAGGCAGTGATCTATTGTCCAGTTCTCTTTGCCTCTGTATAACTCCTTGAGCATGGTCTATACCCTCATCTGGGAGACGTGGGGACCAAAACAATGGCCTTGAGGTGAGCAGTATCTGTTCTGTTGCCAAGGGTGACTCTGGACTCCAAAGAACATCAAAACTCAAAAGGCAGTTGTTGCACCTGCTCTGATTACAGGATTATGGTCAATACCCAGAAAAACGTCTGCACACAGTGTGTCTTCATGTACATTTGTGGGTTGATTACACTTGTCTTTCATGACATCTGATAACCATGGATGCTTTGCTATACTCAAGATTTCCTGCTTTGAACAATCCCTGAAGCCCAGACAGTGAATCTCCAGTCTCCTTTCCAATGAAAAGAACTGCTTCCCCCAAGTGTTGGTCAGTGAGAGGGATAGAAGATCATCCATGGGAATCAGCACAGCCTCTAAAATAGGTCTTCAGCACAGCCTCTACAATAGCCAAGGCCACAGCTAAGCACTTACTGTGGAACCCCCATTTCATCCTCAGTGAACCCTGATGTCTTGATCCACTCAGCACACCACCATTCAGTATTGAAAACTGGGGTTGAGTGAGTCCCTTGTACATGGCCAGGACCTGAATCCGCAGGTGGTCAAGTCTCTCTGGGCTGCTAAGGTAAGAACTCACCTCAGCTTTGGTGCCTCTGGGGCTGAGAATTCAGCCCTAGAAAAGTCCAGAGAGAAGTGGCTGGAGCTAGGCCAGCTGTCCAGGAAAGCTGGCTCCAGAGGCTTCCTCAGGCTGTGAGGTCCATCTGCCTGCACCAGGCTTGCTATACAGACCTCTGCCAGGTTCTCTGGTGACTGAGTCCCCATCTGTGATGAGATAGTTGGGAGACATGGAATTGATGTCCTGCACATGGCATCTCGGGGGTTTGGGGCTGAAGCAAAGCCCACACTCTAAATGGTCCACAGGGCTTCATGGTACAAAGCTCACAGGAGGACCCCAACAGAAAGGGGAATTTCGTATTGAAAGTTACCTTTCATGAGGGACACTTAGGAATACTAGCATGCTCAGTTCACCTTGATAGAGGAGAGGCTGAATAGAACTCTATGCATGAACAAAACTATGAGTAATAAGATGGTCCCCATTTTAGACATGAGAAAACAGAGGCTCATTCTGGATGTCCAAGTTCACTAATGAGGCCCACAGAATGCTCCTCAGGTTTCTGATGAAATGTCCCATGAAGGAATTAAGTTCTTCTTCCATAGCCATGGAAGGTGAGCAGCTGTGTTCACTGCTCTCTTGTTCTCATTTAGCCCAGAGGCTCCTGCAATAGGAACTGCGGTGCCTGAAAAAAATTCTGTGACACAAGTGCCAGATAAATCAACAGAGTGGACTGACGTTTGAGGTGAACACGTCTCTGATGAGGTGATGATATGTAAGAGCTTGAGACAGGGTGGAAAGACAGCCAGCTAATGGTCCATGGACACCAGGCCCAGGACTGACAATGAGGTGCAATGGTAGAATTCAATCATGACAATAAATGAAGTGACTTTGTTTCTATGTCCTTTTCTCCTGCTTCTACCAACATGTGGAGAGTGATCTTGTCTGTGACAAGGTAGAGACTGAGTAGAGAGGATATGGTAGCTGAGCACTGGGAGTCCAGCTTCCTTGGTAGCAGGACTATGGACCCAGTGTTTGACAAGCCCTGGAGCGATGTGCCCAAAGTTCCTCTCAGTCATCTGTGGGCCTCCTTACAGTCCCTTCTGCTCACACACCCTGCACCGGAGCCCATACCTATTGTAATTGTGGGTCCCAGTATCTGGAGCAGGGACATGGCACACAGGGCCCAGGGAAGAGATCCAGGCCAATGGTCTGTGTGCAGCACTGTAGCAGCAGTGCCCAGCAGCCTGGAGGAAGCCTGAGGCTCTGAGACACCACAGGTTTTATGTTGTTAATCTAGATAATCTTATGTTCCTCAAAGACAGACAGCTCTGTCCCAGACTTCTACCCAGAACCATAGGAGATGTTTATGGAGGCTGTGGATAAACATGGGCACTGCCCTTTTCCTCCTGCCAGCCTTGTTCTATGGGTAAGAACATGACAGTGACCCATGCTCAGAGATTCCCAGTACCTGCCCCTACCCAGGAGAATCTGCCCTCAGTGCCTCTCCTCAACCTCCCTCAGACTGATGACCTAGGCAGGAATTGTTTAGGGGGACTCACAGTGGTGGCCAGGCCTAAAGAGACATGTCTGGATTCAGTATATCTGAGTGGCTGGTGGCCAAGCCTAGGGACATCTGTCCTGGGCTCCCTCTTGTGTCTGGGCACCAGGGGCCTTGGGCCAGTGAGCCCTGCCCAGTGCTGACTTGTCTGTTGGGCAGTTCTCTGAGAGCATCCTGAAGCATCTGGGCCAAGTGAACCATCCTTTCACTTATTCCCAGGTGATTTTCTCATGTGGGGTCCGGCTGAGGCTTCTAGGCATGGGAAAGCCGCACAGCATATACACTGGTCACTCTATTGAGCTATGTGCCTGTGAAGGCTGTCGCCACACCAAGGTGCCTCGTGACCAGAGCCTTCAGAGTTCTGTTAAGGCCTGTTGCCAAAGAAATGAGGTCACAGGCTGGTGTCCATAGCTGGGCCTCCCCCTCTGATGACCCTTGTCTTTTTATTGTGGAACAAATCTGTGTTCACCTTAGAAACAGCAAAGTGAAAAACTAGAAAACTGTGTGTGGTTTTACACTTTGAAGTTTTTAATGCAGCAAACATGTAGATGCTTCAGATGTGGCAGGCATTGTGCCAAGCACACATTTCCATCCAAAGTGTCCATTCTCTCTGAGTATGAGTTGTTCACTGTCTTCACTGACAGATCTGTCACATTTTCCGAGGACTTTCTTTTCTGGGCTTATGATAGTTTCATTTCAATTCCAATAGTGAGCACGGAGATGCTCCTAGAACACCCATAATAATTTTTTTAAGGATGTGAATGTTTCATGTTATAACCCCTGTCTGTCCAGGGAAGGAGGATTCATAGCAAGTTTTACTCTCACGTGCCTATGAATGATTACTTACTCATCCTTAGATGTTTACCTCAACCACACACTGTAGTGCTCTGTACTCTGACATCCTGTGAGGGGAAACAGCAGGTGGTGAGTGCAAGGGGAGGCTTTGCCAGGCTGTGGACATTATCACTCCATGCTGATGAAGTTCATATGTGTATCACTCCTGGCAAACTTGTCTCCTACCTACAGCTATCACTTCCTGTCCTCGCATCCCAAACAGACCATTGGCTTTGTGTCCCTGCTGGGTAGTTTGCCTTTCCTAGAGGTGATGGCACTGTGCCTGTTCAGTTGTGATGCTCTTTGGTTGGTCTCATTCAAGCAGTGTCTCAGTCCTGGACTCACCCTCTGATGCCACAAACCACTAATATGGGGCTGAACCAACCACATGTGACTTCTTCGTGACTTGTCACCCATCTGCTGTTGGCCCTTTGTTCTATTCCATGGTCGGCACTTGAAATTCACCTGCCACAGCCATTTTTTAACACAGGCTTGAGTGGATACAGGCTTTTATTTTCAAGAAAAAGTACTTAAATATGAAATTACTGAATCATATTGCTGGTGTATGGCCAACTCAGAAATTCTTAAAGTGTCTTTGAAGCAGTTGTTTAAAGCAGAGTTAGGTGGTTGCTTTTTGTTTTGTTTTGTTTTCTTATGCTATACTATGCTATGCTATTTTATGTTACATTATGTTATTTTTTGGTGAGGATTTTGAAACACCCTCAGTGTATTTTCAGTGCTTTCTGATTTAGTTTTGTATAATCAACTTGAGAAAATAAAAGAATATCACATAAATCTGTAGTTTTGTTTTGGAGAAAATTTAAAAAGGAAAACACAGTCAGGGTTGTTGGTGCACACCTGTCATTCCGGTACTCTGAAGGCAGATGGATTGTTGGGAATTTGAGGTCATCTTGGACTACAAGGGAAGATCAAGTCTAGCCTGAACTGCATAGCAGAACCCTATCTCAAAACAAAGCATAAAAGAAAGAAAAAAAGAAATAAAGAATAAGAGAAAAAATTTTTAAATAAAATTTCAAAAATCGCCTATGAATTCAAAATATAAATATTTGTGAGGTTTCTTGCAAGTGTACTTCAGTCAGCACACCTAGCATAAGGTTTACCATCATGTAGAGATTGATCTACTTGCTTTGTTTCAATGTTTTTGAATGTTTTACTGAGATGACTACAGATACCCTACTGAATATACCCTCTAAGGATTTGGCTACCTCTGTAAGAACATCATGATCATTGTTTTTGTACTTTCCTAAATTTATATTTAGAACCAGAATTTGATGAAGGGATTTCTATTTTTTAAATAGTAATAAGGAGCTTAAAAGGATACTCTTTTTAAGTCTATGGAAACATAAAAATGATTGTAGAATAGTAGTGGTTAATGTACCTTGCCCTATGATTTCTTAATGATCAATATTATCATACATTTGTAAAATATTTAGCTTTTTTACAAAGTTTGACCCATGGTCTCACTAATTTCCTGAGTATTCCAGGCTAAGCTTAAACCCTTCATCATTCTTCCTCTCCCTCCCAGACAGCTGGGAATATACGTATACATACATTATCCTGAGTTGGTAATTGGCAGTAATTTTGTGTATTTGTGTAGTAAAAGTTTCAGCCTTGCTCTTTAGACACTTTGCAGAAAGAGTCAATCTAGTTAAGCTATCTGCCACCTTACTAACCTGTACTTTCTTTCAGTGAGTAGGACTGAAAATCACATTAACAATGGTTGTGGATTCTCTGCTTTTCCAACTGTGGTCAGCATGAGCTTCAGGAGATCACTTCAAATGACTTCTGCACTGGGACTGAGGCTTGGTGTCCTTGAAACACATTCTCTGTTTCTCTGGTCCCTCATGGAAATTAATGATTGACATCAAATTCCAAGGAAGGTGTGAAAGTTAAGGCTACTTCAGGCACAGTGCCCTCCAGAAATCCAGGCCAGTGTAAAACATTTACCCTCCCATTCTACTTTCCAAGGTTTTGTTTTGGTTATGGTTTTGGTTTTTCATTCAGTTTCTAGAGATTGAGTACAGATCTTTTGCATTTAGCTCCATTACCTTCCACTTTTAAAAATCTTCCTTTTTTTTTCAGGAGTTTCTCAATAAGTTGCTAAGTTGGTGGGTCTATCCTTGAATTTGTGATATTTCTGCCTCAGCCTTCCAGGCAGCTGGCATTACAAGCCACACACCAGACCTGCTCTCATTATAGTGTTGTTAAAAACTCATTTGATGAGCAAGGAATGGTGAAAATGCCTGCAATGTCAGAACTCAGGCCACTGAGGCAGCAGGATTCCTGGGATTTCCACACAAGACTGCAACACACTCTGAGTTCAGCTCAGGCCACAATGACACAGGGAGACCCTGACCAGAAAAAGAAAATAAACATGTGGGAACAGACAGGAAAGGAAAGAAGAAATAAAACAAAATTCCTGGTGACTATGAATTGGTTTGTCTCTGGGCTATGCATTTTAATCTGCCGTCCTGTTCTTGCAGTATAAGATCCTTTGACTGCCTTCAATTTACAATATACCTGGAAACCAGGTATTTTGATGCCTTTCCTTTTAATGTTCTTTCCTAGGCTGTAGGATGACTCTTTGTAATTCCTTGTGAATTTTCATTTTTTTTTTCTAGGAAAGTATTAGTGAAACTTTGACATGAATGGCACTGAAACAGCTGGTTGCTCTGGGTATCCTGAACATTGTAACAACATGAATTCTTCCCATCCACCATCACAGTGTGTCTTTTCTTCTGTTAGTGCCATTTCACTCATTGCATCAGTTTCTACAGTTTTTAAAGAAAAGGTGAGTTTGGTTAATTTTTTCCTAAGCATTAACTCTTTTTGATGAATTATGCAATAAATTGTGTTCTATGTATTTGAGGCTACAGTTTGTATGAAGTGCATAAAAATGAATTGATTAGGACATGTGGATCTTGTATCTCGCAATTTAAGTGATTTATAAATTTAACCCTAAAAGGTTTTCAGTGGAGTTTTAAGTTTCTTATATGCAAGGTTGTGTCCTCAGGAAACAGAGCCAACTCTTAATTCTTACTTTCTGATTTGAAAGGCATTGCTTTGTTATTCTTAACTAAATTCTAGGGTTAGGACTTCAAATATTATGTTGAAAAGATTTGCAAGTCTTGTCTTGTTCCTGATCTGCGTAGAAAATCTTGGAGTTTGTCTGCCTCTGAGCACCATGTCAGGGATGGACTTCTCATAATAAAGATCATCATACCTGCACAGCCTATGCTGCACTGAGGCCCATTCTTCCTACACATGGTGTGTGTGAGTAGTTCTTCCCATGACAAAATGTTCAACTTTGGAATTTTTGAAAGCTATTTTTCCAAGTCTATTGAGGGGTTAGCTGTGCCCCATTCTGTGAAAGAGACAAGTGACATTGAATGGTTTTTGCAGTGGAACCATTCCTGCAGCACTGGGATTGATCTTGGTGTTGATTGTGGTGCTTCACTTTTCCATGTTCTGGTAAATTTCCTGGAAGAATCCAAAAATGATTACTACTTATTCTTTATTACACATTTGAAAAATTTTTGAGGGACATTTATCTTAGCCTGGCTTTTGTTGTTGGTATTAGTCAGTTTTGATTGTTGATCCATTGCCTATGTTATTTTTTCCTCTGTTCATCAGTGTGTTTGCTCCTGATGTGTGTGGGTCAGTGACTCCAGTGGAGACCACATTCCCATGAAGGTCACGTGTCATTTTACTTAGGGATGCCACCATTTATTTTGTATTTTCAAGCTCTCCCTGTAGTATGTATTTTTGTCAGTCAGTCCTTTCATTTACTTAGTCTTTTAATGCAAACTGTTCTCCTTGGGTGGCTATTGCTGGGGGAAACTGGAGCTGGTCAGGTGCCCGTATCTTATTTCAGGCCTCATACCCTAGCCTGCCTGCAGTGTCCCCATCTCCTGACCTGCTCACTGTAAATACCTGTCCCACTTCACAGCTATGATGAGTCCACATGCAGCAGTTCAGATCTGGTTTGGGTGGAAGACATTCAGCCAATGTGTGCTCTGTAACAGGCTGACCTTTTCATAGAGATCTCACCTGTGTGAGACAGGGGGCCTGAGGTCTGCAGGTAGGAGCTCTGGCAGCAGGGTCTTTCCTGCCCTCTTCTGTCCAGTGTGCAGTGTGTGCTTCTTTGCTGAGATGCTGACTTGTGGATCAAGAAGCCCAGAACTGGACCTTTCTTGCCCCTGGTGCAGCGGTGTCCTGTACCTCTGCCTGGTCCATTTTCTCCTGACATCAGATCTCCACAGAGATCTGAGCACCCCTAGACTTCCTCTTCCAGACTCCGACTCAAAGTGGAGACTTCAGGTATGAAATATTTGATTATGAAATTCAACCTGTATACATTTAACCTAGAAATTCCACTGCTAAGTCTTCATTATAAAAAATGAGATTGGCAGTCACATGTATTCTCTTCTTACTCATAGTGTGAAAAGTTAGAAACCATGAATTTACAACAACAAAGCTGCCAAGTGAATTACAAACTAACAGGCACTGAAAATGCTGAAAGAAAGCCATGTCCTAGGCCATGGCCCTGGTCTTCCCTGATATGACAGAGAGCTTGTGGCCTGGCCCTCTCTCCACTCAGCAGTGAAGAGACACTGGCACACATGGCAGGCAAGGACTGGAGAGAGGAGCTAGTGGAGGGCAGACCATGATCCTGGGAGGGAAGCCTTTGTGGTTTTTCCATTTTCCATTTCCACTGCATTATTGACAGTGCTCCACTCAATATTTCTTCTCTTATGCTCAACTTAGTTAAGAATAAGTAGTGTTTAATTTCTTGAACAGATGAGTGAGAATGGAAGATTTAATTTTCATTTATATATAATGAAGGATATGCACAGTACAGAAACTTCAAACATAAGAATAAGGATTCTTGGTATTCAGAAAATCAACACATTGTTTATGACTAATTTTTAAAACCATAACACATGAGATCATGCAGAGCCCCTCCATGGTGGGGAGGTGCTGCCCTCCCCACCCTAGAAGCTACCATGTTCACCTGTGCCAGTGACTCTCAGAGGACAGCAAGAGTTTTTCTTCAGAGCCTCTTTTTCCAGAGAGGAGGAATTGAATTTTCCTGCTGCCCAGAGGCGCAGGGAGTGTGCAACATGCAGAAGAGCCCAGCACTGCCTGCCTTACAGCCTTTCCCCCACTGCATCCATGCTGCAGCCCTGCAGGCATGGGAGGGAAGAACCCCCAGGATGGAGGAAAGACTCTCCCACCTCAGCCGTAGGGGCCTCAGTGACTGGGTCCCGGCCTCTGCTTCCACCAGGTGCCTGATACTGCCCTGGTTGGTGCTCTCATAGTGGATCTAACACACCCTCAGCCTCCTAGGCCAAGTGCATTTCCCACAGTGACCCTTCCAGTCTGCAAATTTTGCTCCTCTCCTTTCTGACTGTGGCTGGAGCATTAGAACAAAACACAGCATTAGCATTACCTTTTCTCTTTCTTTCTTTCTTGTTTTTTTTTTTTTGTTGTTGTTGTTGTTGTTTTTTGGTTTCTTAAATTATTTAAGCATATATTTAAAACTGCATTTTGCCAAAAAGCTTTTCTTCAGTTTTTACTCCTCAGTTGTCTGGGGTTTTACATATTTGTACTGCAGTTCAAACCCTAGATGTTTGGATGCTCAGAATCCACTCTGCAGCTTGGTAGAATGAGGGAAGCAAAGCAGAACTTGAACTTGGGGACATTTCTGTCCCTTGTAGCATCTTGTAGAGCAAACCCTACCTAATGTCTTTTTACCCCTGAACTATAGGCTTCAGTAGCAACTGAATCTTCCACTGACAAAATGTGTGCCCTACATTTTTCCAAATAATGTCATTTCCTCTCAAATGGCTATACAAATAGTATAAGGTTTCTTATGCCCAAACTTGAAAAATAATTTCCAGTAGAGAAGAGGCTGCCACCCCTCCTGAAATCATGATGGGATATTATGTAAATGCATATTCTGATCCACACCCTGGCAGCCATAAGCTGAGAGAGGTGGAGATGGCTTGTGCAGATAGGAATCACCTTGAAATTGTCAAGCAGCAGCAGCAGCAGCAAAAAGCAGGGGCCAGAGCTGATGAGACCTCACAGTAGGGTGATGAAATCTTGTGGTGGGTTTGCCCTGGGTTTACTGAGGCAGCTCAGTAACTCTAGGTTACTGCCAGGGTCCATCTTCCTGCAGTGCAATACAAAGGGGAAGTCATGTGCATGCAGCATTAACTGGGAGATTTTCTTTTGCAGTTAAGAAACTGTATGCATGAGATGTCCCCTCTGCCATAGGAGACCCCTCCCCGGAGTATTATTTCCATGTCTCCTAAAGGGTCAGTTTATTTACACAACATGCAGAGTGCTGTTCTGAGTCTTACCTGCACCTCTGGGACCTGGGGCCAGGGCAGGGTTCCCTCCAGCAGCCAGGCACATCATGCTCCACACAGCTCTCCTATGTCCACCTCACTTGTGGTCCATGTCTTGTGGGAGGGGTACCCCCAGACACTTCACTGTAGTGCTACTGAGGACTGCAGACATGCCCAGAGCCATCGGAGCCTGTGACACAATCTTCAATTCCTCTTCATTGGGGGATGAGAGAAATTGAATCTCTCCTTCTGTCAACTCTATTTCTGCACTGAAGGATTTTTACTGAGGGGAATCAACAGCAAGTATGTTGATATCTGTGAAGCAGCTCAGTGGTGCATGACTTCCCGCCTTTCCCACAGAACAAGCCAATGTACAAACAGCTTATATGTAAATACCTTTTAAAAATGTAATGTGGTTCTATTGTATGTGTCTTTCATGGCTCCTTTTTCAGAAACTCTTCTCACCTGATAGTTGTGTTGTTTTCTTGTTTTTTGTTTTTTTTTTTTTTTTTTTTTTTTTAACTGAGAAAGAAAAGCAAAGACTGAGTGGCCCTGGTCCGGATACTGTGACCTCTCCTACAGCTGAGTCCTGGTCCTCTTCCAACCCATCCTTGTACTCTGTGCTGTCTCCACGCCCTCCCCCCACACCCTGGGAAGAAAGGGCACCTCTGTTTGGTTTAAGTGAGGCTTCTCAGGTGACATTTCTTCAACTAAGGAAAAACCTCTTTTCCACCTTTATATGGACCTTCTGCCCCTTTTTCTGTCTTCTGAGGCTGCTAATGACAAGTCCAAGGAGGACTCTGTACTGGAGAACTATGTTTGTGTCATTAATATATGCTTTTATAAATGCCAGATTTAGAAAAAGAAAAAAGAAATTTTGGTTACATTTATCTGTTTCACAGGTTCCTGATAGATTCCTGTGCTACTTCCCCTCACAAAGATGACATTGTCCAATAAGGACTTTGAGAGTAAAACCAAGAAAATCATTCACATTTCTGGCCTCTGTAGCTCTGCTTCACTAAGTGATGGGCAAATCTCCCAGACTCTGCCTTGCTCTGCCTCTGTCACTCTGTCTGTCTCATGCACATCTCTGTGTATACACACATTGATGTCAGAGATACTACATTGTAAAACCTGAGACCATCCACACACACACATCCATCTTGCATCCATGTGTTATTTCATAATGAGATTCCTTGACCTCTTTCCCTGTGAGCCCAGAGAGACTGAGCTCAGCATCCCTGTAGTTTTCCCTGGTTCCCATGGCCCACACTGATGGCCTGCACCCTCTACATGGAGGGTAGAAAGGGTCCCAGTATCTTGCTGCTTCTAACAGTGCTGTGAACAAGTCTTGAAAAGAAAACTTAAAAGGTAGTGCATCTTTTTTCTTTATTTTTTGTGTTGTGAAGCTCTCTGTGTGGGAGAAACTTCTATGCTTAGCTCTGTGAGGTTCATGGACCCTGTTAGAGCTGTGATGGGAGGTGGGGAAAGGGGCTCTGCTCTGCCCCCAGTGTTCTCCACAGTGCTGTTCAGCACCTGCTTTAAAACCTGCCACTGGATGGGGACACAGCACATCTCAGTGACCCATACTTGAATGTATCTGTAGTGGGATACTGTACATTTTATACACTTGCTGGCAATATGAGCTGATTCCCTCTTGAACTGCAAGAGTTTGTCTCTTATCTCACAAAACAAATGAAAAGGCAATTCCAACCTCAAAGATTAATGTGTTTAATTTTTAATTATAAACTGTAGTCTATCTGGGATTGTCCCCTTTATCAAAGAGAAATATCAGTTAGTCTCTTCCAGTACTGCTTGACCAAACAGAGTTGTGTTGAAGTGATGTAAAAACTTGGAGTAGTAAATCACAGAGGCAGAAAGATCAGTGGTGGCTGGGACTGGCAAGGAAGAGAGAGAATGGTGTCCAAATGGGAATGAAGTTTTGGGAAATGTTCTGGAACTATACAGAAATGAAGGTGGTGCACACTGAGAATGTGTACATGCCACTGCACTGAGGATGTTGATTAAAACAAATGAAATCATATCCTTTATTTAAAATTAATTTATGCCATAATATATAAAAGGATTATAGAGGTAAAGGCATGAAAATGGAAAAAAATCATGGAGGAGATGGGAAAGTCAGGTTTTCATCAAGAGCTGGCCTCAGGGTGAGGTTGAGGAGCTGCCAGCTGCTGACGGGCCCTGATAGCCTCAGCATTGGAGCTGACAGAGATCAGCTTCCTCTTGCTGGCTCTTCCTGTGGTCCCAGAGTTGGTGAGGGCACTGTAATTGTGTCAGGCAGAAAGTCTGCACCTGGTCCTTGACATTGGTGCCCAGCCCACCATTCAACAGCAAAAGGAGAAAAGATCATCAGTTGCCCACATTCCTTGCACAGCCATCAGACTTCCAGTGACTGTCAGAGACAGCTCTGTGCACAAATCCACTACTAGGCAGTCTTCCCACACTGCATCTACCCACTGACTTCTGTGTCTCAGGGCTTCAAGGTGGTCCCTTAGCCTTGTCCCTTCTCATTTGTTCACAGGCCTGTACCCAGTCCTCCTCACTGTTGTTCTCTGCCTCACTGGGCTCACAGTGCTCCAGTTCAGGCAGGAGAAGTAACTTTGGAAGATCCATGTTGGTTTGCAGCTGCTGCTTGGAGCCAAGAAGCAGGCCTAAGGTCCTGGGGGTGCAAGGTGTGGGCAGCTGAGTGTGAGCTGGGTGTTATCCCACCCTAACTACTCTCCCAAGGCACCCTGCTGAGTTGGATACCTGGCTGCTGCTCCAGCTGTGGAGAGCCCAGTTCCACCCTATCTCCACCACTAGTGGAGCAGTGCTGCCCCAGACAGCTCTGGGGGACTGACAGATGACTCCATGGGAGAGCCTGTGAACAGTGTTGTGACCCCCTCTCTGTTCTTCAGGAAAGCTGTACACACATCTCTCTAGTGCTTCCCAGTGGTATGTTGCCTTCACAAGGGGATGGAAAAGTGTCTACTATGGTACTGGGATTGTGCTTCATACATATGTGAGAAGTGAGGGAACAGAAGGGATGGGTAGTGTTCCACCTTTCCTCAGCTGTTAGATTGCACAGAGACTTGCCACCCAGTACTCTGTGCTTCCTCTTGAGTCCCCTTCCACTGATGTGTTTCCATATCTAGGGAAGCCCAGAGGAAATCTCATGTACCATAAATTTAGTAGTATATGATCTGCCATCCAGGGTGACTGTGTTGCTCCCACTAGTGTGGAAGGTCAAGAGGGCAGTAGCTACATCTTTGTTGGTCATTGGATCATGGTCAGTGCCTGGCAAAGTGTCTGTTCACAGTGTAGCTCTATGTATATTCATGTACTCATGGCACCTTCTGGTTCTGGTGATGTCATCTGAATGGGCCTGGGGCCTCTGCAAGGCCCAAGAGAATCTGGCTATGAATAATACATCCTAAACCCCATAGAGCATCCTAGGAATCAGATTTTGCATAATGGCAAGTTCATATTCAAATTTAACAATTTAATCATCAGTGAAAATCTCTTAAAGTAAATAAAAAAGCTAGAGATTTTGTGTTAATACCTGTGGTTCATTCCTGCAATGGAAAAGAAAAACGTGTAGTGTATAATCAGTCAAATCACAAGAATTATTGCTTTGTCCTCCAGAAACTAATGTGGGTGTGAAAGAAACAGACACACACCACGATGTTCAGATGCATGAAAAACACCACAGTGGAGGGAAACCCTGGGTATCCAAACAATATGGGAAAGCTTTAACCACACATAGAAATAGTAAGGAACATGAAAGAATTCACACTGGAGAGACCTCATGTATGTAAGCAATGTGGGAAAGCTTTTACAACCAGTGGACATTGTAAGCAACATGAAACAATTCACACTGGAGAGAAACCTTATGTATGTAAGCAATAAGCAAAAGCTTTTATCAAATGTGGACATCGTAAACGAGATGAAAGAACACTTGAGAAAAACCCTATATATGTAAGCAATGTGGGAAAGCTGTTACCTCACCTAGAGATTTTAAAAGTCATGAAAGAATTCACACTTGAGAAAAACTCTATATATGAAAGCAATGTGGGAAAGCTTTTACCTCACCTGGAGATTTTAAAAATGAATTCACACTGGTGAAAACTGTATGTATGTAAGCATTGTGGGAAAGCTTTTACCAACATGGACATTGTAAGCAACATGAAAGAATTCACACTGGAGAGAAACCCTATATATGTCAGCAATGTGGGAAAGCTTTTACCCAATGTGGACTTTGTAAGCAGCATGAAAGTTCACACTCGATAGAAACCCGATATATGTGAGCACAGTGAGAAAGCTTTCAGTACAACTACATATTGTGTACTGCATGAAAATCTTCACACTGGCCAGAAACCATATATATGTAAGGAATACTGGAAAGCTTTCAGCAAAATGCTCATTGTCAAAACACATGAAAATATACCCTCTGGGGAGAAACTACATACATAAAGAATGTGGGAAAGCTTTCACCTCACATGGATATTGTAAAACACATCAACAACTTCACACTGGCGACAATACCTATGTATGTAAACAATGTGGGAGAGCTTTTACCACATATAGTCATTGGAGAACGCATGAAAGAATTCACACTGGTTGCTGGGGGTTTAGCTCAGCGGCATAAGTGCCTGCCTTGCAAGCAGGCAGTCATGAGTTTGATCCCCGGTACCGATAAAAAGAAAAAAGACCAAAAAAAAAAAAAAAAAAAAAGAATTCACACTGGGAAGAAACACTGGCTATGTAAGCAATGTGGGGATGATTTCAGGAGCCAGAGTGAATGTGAAAATCAGGAGGAAACCCACACTGGGAATTCATTGTATACATTATGGGAATACTCTCAGCAAACATGATAATAGTTACATATCTGAAAGAGCTCACTGGGCAGAAATACTACGTGGACTAGCAATGTGAGAAATATGTCAGTCAACACACTTTGTTAAATACATAGAAAAAGCCTCACTGATCTGAATTTTTAGATCTAAGTTTAGTTTTAAAATCCGAAGGAGTCCTGAAGAAATAATTAATACAAAAGTTTGATGTCCACATTTCTTCACAAATTTTCCAGAAATGACAAATCTGAGGTGGAGCTCTCCTCAAGTACATGTTATGTGATTTTTAGTTAATCACTTGTACTTATCTAGATTTTTTAAAGTGCATTTGTGCTTAAACATAGTGTCTTTTAATTAAACATGGTAAACTGAAATGTACTTTTTCTGTTCAAATATGCGTAGTGTCTATGTACTTAATGTTTTGTCTTTAAAACTTAATTTTTGTATTTTTTGGTAAATTGTAATATTGATGCTGCATTTGTTGTAATCTTTTGCTTCATTTTCTGTGGCATAAATGATATTTCTGAAATTGATGCTATATTTGACATTAAGATATAAATTTAAAGAGGCTTGGAGCATATGTTTTTGACAAAGTTGTGTTCTTTTCACATGACTTGTACATTAATGAATGTTATGTTTTTCATGCTGTGACAAGATACTTGCTTATATCCTAACATCAGTGGATTTATACCATGTACATTATGTTGCCTGTTTCTCTTTTTCCCTGGAGCAAATATTGTCCTTTATGTAAATCTTTGTTTTTCTAACCATTAGAATATTACCTGTTATATTTATATTGCATCTTTTGTATTATTAAGTTTTCTACCACATTTACCAAAAGTAAACCATACTGCTGTGAATTTCTAATTGCCCCACACTGACAGAACCATAACTTGTCTCCAAAAGCATATAACAAATTATATTAATGTCTCCAGAAAGTAAAAAATGTGGTATGATTTGTCAGTAACCACACTTTGAAAGGAATTTTTTAACTGTGGACTTGTTTTGGGGAAAAAGGTTGCTATTGAATGTATCATGCAAATGCCTTTATTTTACTCTTTGGTGTTGTGAACCTATTACCTATTTTGTAATTATTACTGATATTTCCTAAAGCACTGAAGTAATGGCATGAAGGGAAATTTAAATTTTGAGCTGTCAGCACAGTGAAAAATAAATTTGCTAAATTATAATTCAGATTGCGTTCTGTTTTTTACTGAATTGTGAATTTATACAATTGCATGTCTCATTATTTATAAGGACAACTGCCTGATGTTTGTGGTTTGTGCTGATCATATTTAAACACATACAATGGGCCATGAGTCCCAGTTGGTATTCTGTGAACTGTGGTTTTCACTTCCATTTTATCAGTCATGTAATTTGTAAAGTGTTTAATTCAGTGTTGTTGAATATAAAATCTACTTAGGTTCCATTGGAATTATGCTGTTAAAAACTGGTGTCATGGAAACACAAGTGAGCACTGCATTAAATACCCCTAATCCAATGAAGATAGCTTGCCCTAATATCAGTTATGCTTGGACACATAAATTACTCTCTTGTTGTATAATCACCACTAAAACTATGTCTGTTTTATATCTGAAGTCTCTGACATGCTTTATGAAGTAAAAGAAATGTAAAATACATCATTAGCCTCTATGCACTACAGCATATGGCCAGATTCCCTGCAGCACATTTCTGCTTACCATCACCAGGAAGATGTGGAGTATGTATTTCTAGTAATAGAATATTGAATCTATAAGACATATATCCTGAGTACATTCACTTTCTCATTTTACCATGAAAATAAATCTTGGAGGTCCTGTTGATTCATGCTTGTAATCCTAGCAACTCAGGTGGCTTAAATTAGTGGAAAAGAAATTTGAGTCCAGGCTACACAATTTAGTATGACCTGTCTCAAACTATATCTTCAAGTTCTGCAGATGTGGTCTAGTGCTTTAGTACTCGCCCCATGTCAACATTATTTTGATACTCACAGTTATACATCAGTTGTCCTTTTATCACTGGGCCACCTAGCAGTTATCCCCAAGCATCACATGGGAAGCAAATTTGTTTATGCACTGACTATGCTGAGCATCATTGGGGCAGTTGTAATTTTAATCCATTGATTCCTGTATTAAATATATTACTACTGTCACTTTTATATTTCTTGTTATTTTATAAAAACTAAAAAAAATTATGCAACTTTTGATCATCTTGTATTTAAATAATTGCACTGTTAAGGAGTTATGTATAAAGATCTAGGTTAAATGTGATTCATTTAGTCCCAGCATCAGTAGATGGTGAGAAGAGAAGGTAATAGCTTAGAAGCTGACTTTGGGTGGCAACTTTGTTAGAAGATTTAGCAGAGTGCATAGCAGTTGTTTTTATACCTGCAACTGAGGTTTAAGGAAACAAGTAAGTGGAGGTCAAGAATATAAATTTAGGGATAGGATAAAAGAATCACAACTGCAAATCATGATTTTTCTTTCACTTAGGAAATGTACTTTTTATGGTAATCTGTGCAGCAGTCTCAAATATGCCTCTATTAGAGTAAAATATAGTAAACATGAATGAGCCATGCATTCCATGTTCTGAATGTAGAGGCATTAAAAAGAAACTTTTTAAACTTAATGCTATTGCTGGTGTTTTGTATTGAAAATAAGATAGGGTGAAAAAACAATCAAAAAGGATTATACAAGATTTCATAGTCCTGCACAAACATAGAAGCCAAAAAAAAAAAGAAAGAAAGAAATCAAATAAAAAAGGATGAAGAAATAATCTACAGAATGAGAGAAGTTTTGCATGTTACTCCCTGACAGCTAGCATGTAAAGTCAATAGGAACATGAAATGAATACACACTTTTTAGAGTAGATATAAATTGCCAAGAAATACCTGAAGAACTATTACGTGTTTTTGCACAAAGGAGAAATGCAAATAGGGACACCTTCATTGCAGAGAGAGCAAATCACCACAAGATCAAAAGAATGATCATGAGACCACAGGAGAAAAGGAACTATTTAACCTTGTCGGTAGAAATGTAAATAAGTAGTTCAATCATTACTGATGTCAGTGTTCAAAGTATTCAAATACTGAAGGTAGTAAGTCCAATCAGTGCAGTTTCCTTTAGTGCATCTCTTCCCCAAAGAGATAAGGACATATTGCAGTGATGCATGCAGATTCCTTTTTACTGCAGCAACAGTCACTTTTTCTATAGAGAACAGCAGTCCTCAGAGGAAAATTTATTACACTGACTTCCCACATCAGGAAAACAGAATGAATACAAATAAACAGCTTGATGCTACACCTCAAATATCTACAAATACAAGAGCAAGTGAAGCCCAAAGCCAAAAGAAGGGAGAACATTATAAAAATCAGAGAACAAATCAATGCAGTAAGAACTAAGAACACAATCCAAAGAATCAATGAATCAAAGAGTTTGTTTTGTGAAAGAATAAATAAAATTGATAAGCACCTAGCCTGCTACATTATTTAAAAATGGGAAGAAAAGGCTCAAATTCATGCAATATGGAATGAAAAAGACAAAATCACTACAGACTCTCGGGAAATACAGAAGATCATCAACACCTATTTTAAAATTTCTACTCACATTTGTTAAATAACACAAAAGAAATGGACAGATCCTAGAAACATATGAAGTACCAAACCTGGATCAAGAAGATATAAAACTGATGAATAACCCAATTTCTATTAATGAAATTGAAAATATAATAATATAATTCTCCTTATGTACAAAGAGGAGCCCAGGCCCAGACAGATTCACTGTGGAATTCTACAAGAAATACAAAGAACCCTAATGCCAGCACTCCTCACATACTTCAATGAAATCAAAAGGAAAGCAACTCTTCCTCAATCATTCCTGGAAGCAAATATTATTCTATTACCAAAATCCGAGAAAGACCCAACTAAAAAGGCCAATCTCCCTATATGAACACAGAAGCAAAAACCCTTAATAAAATATTGGCAAACAGCATGCAGAAAATCATCAAGATTATACACCACAACCAAGTGCGATTCATCCTAAGCATGCAGGGATAGTTCATCATATGTAAATCAATCAATGTAATCCACCATATCAATAAAACCAAAAGTAAGAATCACATGAGCATTTCTATAAATACAGAAAAAGCTTTTCATAAGGTGCAACTTCCATTCATGATAAGAACCTTACAGAAAATTGGAATAGATGATCTTTACCTCAGTATGATAAAGGCCATCTATTGACAAACCAACAGCCAGCACCATATTAAGGGGCCAAAAACTGAATTCTTAAAATAAGCACAAGACAAGGATGTCCCCCATCACCATTCATATTCAACTTAGTACTGGAAATATTAGTCAGAGCAATTAGATAAGAGATAGAAAAAAAGGGGTACAGATAGGAAAGAGGAAATTAAATTATTATTATTTGCAGATGACATGATACTCTACATAGAAGACCCCAAAACTACACTGGACGTCTCCTAGATATAATAAATATATTCATCAATTTAGCTGTATACAAAGTAATATTCAAAAAGTCAATAGCATTCCTATACACTAGAAACAAAATCATTGAGAGAGCAGTAAAGAAGTCACACCCTTCACACTACCATCCAAAAAAAAAATGAATTACTTTGGAATTGATCTCATGAAGAAGTAAAAACATATGTGTGTGTGTGTGTGTGTGTGTGTGTGTGTGTGTGTGTGTGTGAGGAAAATTATAATATCCTGAAAAAGAAATCAAAGATGATCACATAAAATGGAAAGATATCCCTTGTACATGGATAGGAAGACTAAATATTGTGAAAATGGACTTTCTCTCAAAACTGTTACACAGATTCGCTGTGATCCCAACGAACATAACATCAACATAGCTCTTAGATTTATAGAAATCACTCCTAAAATTAATCTGGAACCAAAAGAGACCTAGAATAGCAAAAATAATTCTAACAGCAAAGAAAACATAGGAGACATCACAATCCCTGAGTCAAAGTTATTTTACAAAACAATTATAATAAAATCAACATGTTATTGGAATAAAAACAATTATAAAGATCAATGGAATAAGAAGATACAACAACAACTACAAACACAACTTACGTTTGATATAGGGATCAAACATGTACCCTGGAAGAACGACACTCTTCAATAAATTGTGCTTGAAAAACTGGGTCTTCATAGGCTGAAAACTAAAACTAGACCCATGGCTATCACCAAGTACTTGAATACATAGGAGTAGGTAGAGAATTCATGGACAGGAATCAAAATACATGGGAAATACTTCCCAGAATCAATAACTGGGATCACATCTTATTAAAAAGTTTCTACACGTGAAAAGAAATCTCCAACATAGTGAAAAGAAAACCCACAAACTGGAAAAAATCTTAGTGAACTGTCCCTCAGACAAAGGACTTCTGTCTAAAACATGTAATGAATTAAAAAAATCAGACCCCCAGAATTCAAAGATCCAATCCAAAAATAGCAACTGAGATGAATACACAATTCTCAGACAAAGAAATACAAATGGCAAATAAATATATGACAAAATGATGCTCATCATTTTTCACTAGAGAAATGCAAATTAAAACCACACTGAGGTTCCATCTCACTCCAGAAAGAATGGCCAGGATCAAGAAAACAGACAACAAATGCTGGAGAGGCTGTGAGGAAAAAGGAACTCTCCTGCACTGTTAGTGGGAGTTTAGTAGACTGTTGAAACCATTGTGGAGGTCAGTCTGGAAATTTCTCAAAAAGCTGGGATTGGAAGTCCCACTGGATCTAGCTATTCCACTTCTAGGCATATTCCCAGAAGAACTGAAAACATCATACCTCAGTGATATATATGCACTCATTTTTATAGCAGCACAATTTGTAATAGTTGGATCTTGGAAACAACCTAGGTGTCTGTCAACTGAGAAATGGATAAAAAAGCTGTGGTATTTTTACACAGTGGAGTACTACTCAGCTATAAAGAATAATCACATTGAGATATTTATAAATATATCAATGCAACTTGAGACCTTACTCTTATGTGAAATAAGTCAAACTAATGTATAAATACTGTATAGTCTCCCTAATGTAAGAAATCATAAGAGTACATAAGAGTTTATGGTGATCATGATTCCCCATTACATTGCTTTGGAGACTTATAATGTTCCCATTCAGTAGTTGGAATTGTTTTATCCTGGGTTGTTTGATTTTATTATCTGTGATGGTATGAACAGCTATTATGAAAACAACAAGATATTATAATGGGCACTGCTAATTTAATATCATCTTACTTTGAAGTGCAACCATGCTTTTGTTCTTCCATTTCCATTGGTTCCATCATGTTGTGTCTTATTGGATTTTATTATGTGTCATAGTATAAATAAATTTTTCATGGACAATGAGACAATATGGTAACAATTTTTTCATTTTCTGTTATTTTGTTCTGAATGCCCTGTAATACTTTCATTCTCTTTAATGGTTTTATACTATTTTGTTATGTTTGATATTATTGTATATGAAGGTATACTCACCTCTTTCAAGGAAAGAGAGTTATGGTAGTTACTGATATATTGGGTGGTTTTGTGATGAAATACCGCATTGCATAAATTGTTCTGTTCTGAAAAAAGTAATTTGCAAGTCTTTCATATCCTTTACTGATTTTGCTGATGTGAAGAAAAATATTGGATGCACAATCCGAGTTCCTAATCATCAATTATTACAGCTCTATAGACCTATTTGAACTCATGGAAATTCAAATATGGGCTCCCCTTATTCCATCTAGAACTGGCATTGAACCTAAGTGGTTCTGCAGCATTTTACTAGACTTCTACAAGCACAAGACAGATAAGTTTCTCAGAGCCTCCCTCCTCCTTTTTGGTTTACATTTAGACAGTGTGTAACAATGCCATGTCTCTATGGTCAGCAGACCCTCATGTCTTTGCTTCAAAGTACTGTTTCTACCATCAATGCTATTTTAACATTATCTGTTTAACCTATTTGTGTTATTGACACAACTCTAGATAAAATGCAATTTTACTCTTCAGTTGAGCTAAAGAACTTCAAATTGCCTTTTCTCATTTTCTTACAGCATCTGGAATGTTAATGTTTAATTATTATCACCACTGTGAGTTTCTTACTCATTTGTTTTGAAAATATTATGCATGCGGAGAAACAGTATTGACCAAAAGCAAAGTGTTACACTGTCCTCAGCATCTCATGGCTCAGACTGACATATTCTCCTCTGTTGAGCATGGTGACTAAGCATAAATGCGATGAGATAGAGCAAATGTCTATCAGTATTCAGTAAAATTGAAAGGCCATGTCTGGGAGTGCAAGAAAGTGGCAGTGTTTGAATGAGACCAGAGTGATATGCACTTGTGAGTCATGCAATTATATGGAAAAATGTTGGGGCCATTGAAGCTGAATACATGTGTAGGCCTGTGGCATGGCCTGGGCATGATTGAACTGAGAATGAGGCGACATCACAGGGAGCAAGGTAGGGCAAGATAGTTTTCCTAACTTAGCATCGTTTGTAGCTCTGAGGGATCCTTGAGCCCCTCCCAATGTCCTGCTCAGCTTTCCTCACTTTTGCGCTCAAATCCTTGCTTGTTATAATTAAATATGTGCTTCCCAGCCTCAGTCAGCCAGCCACCTAGCAGAGCTATGAGCTCTGCGAAGGATTTAAGTCCTTCTGCAGCCCTAAAGATTTTGTCACTTGTTTCCTTTTTTAGGCCTTTGCCATGCATCTATTTGTGGGTTTGGGGGGTCTAGGCACTGACCCCAACAATTGGTGCCTGAATAGGGACTCTACAGTGGAGATGTCTGCTGTGGAGTGTTACTTACCTTTGCTGTGTTCCTGGGGCAGAAAATGGCCCTGAAAGCATGTCTATTTTATTTTG